GATGACGAGATAATTTTCAACCGACTTCAAAAAGGAGGAGGTTCTCAATTCGACTGTATGTTTTTTTTGTTTTTTTTTTATTTTATGTTTGTTACCTCAGAACTCCGTCATTTATTAACCGATTTGGACAATTTTTGTTTTGTTTGAAAGGGTATACTTCCAGATTGGTCCCATTTAAATTTAAAAAAAAAATACCACCCCTAAGGGTGGAAAAACAACTAATGATGAATTTAACCTTCTTAATATATATAATTAATACTTAATATATATAATATAGATAATTAGATACTTCGAAAATATTTGATTAGGTATGTATAGTAAATGAAAACTACCAATCAATTATTTTTTACTTTTTAGTGCTTTTGTTTGAAGTCGGTTTTAATTTTTTTGTTAAAAAGTTTTCGAGTAAGAAAATCTTAAATCCTAACATATCGACAAATTAATATCTGTCACCTTTACTAATAAATCTGATAATTTCTATATCGCTTAAGTAACAGAATCACTATCAGACGCATTCCTAATTGATATTATACTAAGTCTAATGTCAATAAGGAAATTTATATATACCCGCGGCGTACTGTATTTGTGTTTGTTCGGGCTAATCTCAAAAACTACTATACCTATTTTCATAAGGTGTTCACCAATAGAAAGAAGGATTATTAAAGAAGGTTATACGCTATAATTTATGCACATTTTGCGAAAATTCTGATTCTGCGAGTTTGTGAAATATTGTAATGAAAGAGCAAAGGGTATTACATTTATACATACACTAGCGACTCACCCTCACTTCGCTCGGGTTCGTCCCTAGCTTGATTCCCCATACAAACTTTCATCCCCATTTTCAACCCTTTAAGGAATGATTTCCGGGATAAAAAGTATCCTATGTCGTTTCCAGGGTCTCAAACTACCTTCATCTAAATCTAAATTATTATTAAAATTATATATAATATATTAAAATTATATAACATTATATTAAAATTTCATCTAAATCGGTTCAGTAGATCCAGAGATTACCCCCTACAACGTCACAAACTCACAAACTTTACCTCTTTATAATATTAGTAGGATACATGTAGGTATGTGAGCAAGAGTACATATATGTAGGTATGTATAAGCATATGGAAAAATAGCTTAAATTTCCTCTTTTTATTCGTACATACATATATGTATATATACAGCTGTTTACTAAGTACATATATGCAAAAAATTACGGTACTTATAAGAAAAAAACATTTTTTTTTTAACTTTCTGTCTGTTTGTTTGTTCCTGCTAATCTCCGAAACGGCTAGATTGATTTTGACGGGACTTTCACTGGTAGATAGCTGATGTTATAAGGAGTAACTTAGGCCACTTTAAATTTAGAAAAAGACTTAGGGTTTAGTGCAAAAAAACCCATGAAATATCCACGAAACCCGCCTTCCGAGGGACGCACCCGAGCGAAGGTAAGTCGCTAGTATGTATGTATATGAAAGTGATTAGTGTAGAAATATTAGTTATTATTTATCTATTATATCATTACAGATTACAGAATATATCTAAAATTATAATTTAATACTAGTTATCTGTACATATTATAAAATTGTAACGAAGCCGAATCTGTACATTAGATATTTTTTGGAAAATCTTATTGAAATAAACATTATTATCGATACAGAGGCCGAATCTATAGTTTTTCGAATTTTTGTCTGTCTGTCTGTTATCGCATTACAGAAAAACCACTGGAGGGATTTTGAAAAAAATTGGTATGATGATAGCTGGTTATCTGGGTCAACACATAGGATACTTTTTACCGCGGGAAAATATTTCATTTCTGAGAAAAAATACAAAAACCGCAATGTACGAATATACTAATATGTCAAACCTAAGAATTTGGTTTTTGGTCATCTCAACGCGGGCGGAACCGCGGGCAATACTAGTTCATTATATCATTACAGATTACAGAATATATCAAAAATTATAATTTAATAGTAATATTAAATAAGTTACACCACAACTGATTAAGTAAAGCAAAATTATAAGTGGTAGTAACTTTTTAGTTTACGTATACTGTTTATATTTATATATGAAATTCCGATGTGCATGTGTTCATAATTCTTGCCCTCCTTAACGGCTTGAGTGATTTTAATATTTTTTTGTGGCAGATTGTTTTTAGCGGGACTTCTTTTAGTGGGACCCCTATTGTCAAGGCATCATTCTTTTTTTGTCTTCTGACTAAAAATTTTCTTACATATTACCTTTTTTTTTGGATTTCTGACAAAAAAACGTGAAAGTGGCTGTTTGTTACTCTTTCACGCCAGAACGGCTGAACGGATCTGGATGATTAGCACAGAGATAGATTATAGTCTGGAATAACACATAGGCTAGTTTTTATCACGGAAAAATGTACGGTTCCGTGGGATAGGTTTGTTTTTGTTTTGAAAATAATATGATAATCAAAATTTCAGTCTCCAAACACTGAGGTAGGCCAATATGAGTCTACCGGGTCTAAAACTATAGTAGTTATAGTTAAAAGTGTCCATAAACGATTAAGTAATTAGTATGTACCATTTCTGTTAAGGGAGTAAACTGCTCTTGTTACTTCATAAAATAACCACAAGAGAATCTAGTCATCTCGTAGATTGAAATTTATTGAAGATTTGAGAGTCATCACTATCTTATAATATACTAAATTAAAACGTGTGAATGTTATTACACTCGAAAGTGCAGACTCGATGCCGTAGAGAGTTAAAAATAGTACGCTTATATTTGCATCAGTTGGAAGAGGATCAAAGATACAAAAAATAAAACTTCATTCCAATGTCTTATAATGATTTTGAACTTGTTTACTTGTAAAATTATGTTAGACTAGCGACTCAACCTCGCCCCGCTCGGGTTCGTCCCTAGTTTTAACGTTTAATATAGATTTCTCAGAGATGAAGTATTTTCCCGCAGTAAAAAGTCGTCCTATATGTTGACCCGGATAACCAGCTAGTACCGGCTCTTCTAGCCGGTGAGCCCCACATCACCACCTGGGGGATCAGGTGGTATGCGTAAATGCATTTCCCGACGATAAAAAAAAAATAACCAGCTGTCACCATACCAAATTTCATCAAAATCCCTCCAGTGGTTTTTTCCGTGATGCGGTGGTAACAGACGGACAGACAAAAATTCTAAAAACTATAGATTCGGCCTCCTTATCCAAAATAATGTCAATTTTAATAAGATTTTCTAAAAAATATTTAATGAACAGATTCGCCTTAGTTAGAATTTTATTATATGTATAAATTTTACCTTCGGGCTAATGCTTCAGATAGGATAAAATACATAGCAGGCGGGTTATTACAGGCAGTGGTAGCCCAGTACCGAACTCGCCGACTTCTTATATTCTCATGTGCCAATCATTTCCAACATGATAACGGTTGAGGTGCATGTCTAAAAGATATCTATCTAGGACAGCATATTATGCAACCAGAAGAGATACAGATGCTCCCCGCTCAGAAAATCTGGAAGTTCCTGGAGTCAACAGGACTAAGCGGAGAACTTTAATTCATTCCAAAGGGAGCTACAATGGACCATAACTGGTCAACGTAGCTAGGGCCGACCTCGACACCACACCCAATAAAAATAAATAATAATAATGTCTAAGAGAACCTAATAAGTTTTCGAAAGACATGCTCAGTACGCCCGCACTTGTTAAGCTTGGTGGACCATGGCCTGATCCCTCTCGTATTAAAGGGAGGCCCACCCCCAGCAGTGGAACGTTAAAAATCCTAGAATAAGAGACGGAGCGTATTCAACAATAAATGAAGCCAAACGAAGCTTATTATAAACATAAGAGCTATTATGTGTTTTATAACTTTATATACATATTTTGCAATTTGCATTTTGTGCATTGTCAGTCAGTGGATTATTATAATTTAAGATTTTGATTAAGTAGATAAGTAAAGTAGAAAGAGTGAAGTGAATGTCAAATATTTACTTAAATATAAGAAAGTATTATATCATGTTCATATCAATCTTTTTCTTCATCATTTTCTCTGTAGATAAACAGCGCGGTAAAACTGGATTGAACCGGTTTAGAAATAGCATTTCGCTCGTCTCCTTGTAACGGGGTCAAAAGCGATCAAATGTGAAGAAATGTGCATGTGAATAATCCGTTTATTTAAGTAACATAATATAATATGCTGTGGCAAAATTGGTTTAGTGGCTAGCATGTAAGTCTGCAGATCCTTAGATACTTGGTTCGAGTCTTGAGTAGGGTCAAAATGATAACTGCGTTTCTCTGTCACAAGACGCGGGACTTTGGTACTTGGCGTTGCTTGCATCTAAAATCTGTCGGTCCTGCTCACAATTTGCCCATCAGTCGTGTTATATAGTTGGTCTACCGGAAAAGTGAGAAGTGCACATGGGGATTGCGCATACACGCCTGCACTTCATGAACCCACTCTTTGGACTCTATATCAGAAATGGTTGGCTGGCTATATGACTATCTAATGTAATAATACTTTCATAGATTTACGCGAATATTTGACATTTTAAATAAAACTATATTTTCGGATTTTGTCGCCGATTTATTTTGATTTTCAGTCTCTCCCGTTACCATGAAGCTGTTAAGCATTGGAGCCGTCTGGTACCATAAATCAAAATAAATCCGAAAAGAGCAAAGCAAATACTGTCGACTATAGAGTAAATTCGTTTTGCTCAGCTGCGTACTTAGGTTTAGGCCATACATTTTATTGTTTTCTTCCAAACTGTTTAGGCACAGCAAGCCGATAAATCAACTCATCCACCACTTTTTTCTAACTTCAATTAAAGTTATTATGATTTCTGACACTAACCACATTTTTATTGAAATAAAAAAGAGTCTATAGAACTCGGCGGTAATTTAGCTTCCTATTAGTGAAAGAATTTTCAAAAGATAAGTAGTTTCAGAGATTATCCCCATTCATCCAAACTTACGAATCTTACCTCTTTATAATATTAGTGTAGATTTGCCATCTTATTGTTATTATTCATTTCAGCAAGCAAACAAGAGAATATATCGCTCAAATTAAAGAATGGATCGACCCCGGAATCGAAGCGACTTCCCCTAGTGAAGTCAGCGCCACATTTGAACAATAACAGAGTTGAGGAGACACCGAGTATTGATGCGAAACTTGAAGGAGTTGAAATTCATAGTCCTGGGAAGGATGGGTGAGTGTAGCGCCTGACCTTACATATGATAATAATAATGCTGTAGATAGGGAGGCCTACTTTAGACCTAGATACTTACCTACCTAGATTAATAACGATAGCCTATGTTACTCCAGGTTAGTATCTATCTGTGTATCAAATTTCATCAAAATCCGTCCAGCCGTTTCTACGTGTAGGAGTAACAACCATACATACACACATACATACAAATTTACGCACTCTATAATAGTAGTGTAATGTCTAAGTGCATAATACAAAATATTTGATATCCATAATACTTAAATGTGAAAGTTAACTATAAAACTCTATCTGTTACCTTTTCATTCTTAAATCGCTGAACAGATTTCGATAAAATTTGGCAAGGACGTAGTTTGCATCCTGGGGACGGATATAGCCTACCCTTCAATCAAGCTCCGCTTATCACGCGAGTGAGGCTGCGGGCAAAAACCAGGTTCTTATAAAGAGGGATCGTGATCAAGAGTTCATGGATTTTGTAGAAACTGTGTGTGTTTCGAATGGACCTGTAGACTAGTAATGTACCCAGTGACTCAAATTTTCATTTATCTTTCAGCAAAGGAGATTGGGCACCAAAAAGTCCGAGTAAGGTAAATTTTTTTTTAATTTTTTGGGTCTTTCCTTAAGTAATGTGTCCCTGATACCACCGATCCTTTAAACGTCCTACTGCTGGGGATGGGTGTGGATAAGGAGGATCAGGCTGTGGCCTGATTCCCCTTGTATTGAAGGAAGGCCCTTGTGGACTATGGTCCATCATACTGCCCAAGGTTGGTGAACTTCACGTGGCTTTGCAAAACCAATTATGTTCTATGTCGGAAATCATTCGATTCGCACATCATTTTCAACATGATTACATACAAGGCAAAATTATATAAGTTCCTTGTTTATAAAATATTTTTAACCGACTTCGGAAAGAAGGGTGTACTCAAATAATATATAATTATTTTGACTAAAAATCCTGTCCCGTAAAAATTACAAGAAAAAATCCCACCTGTAAAGATAAACTCTTGTACTTTTAAAACAATTTTGAAGTCAATGTGGGTTTACACTGAAAAGTTAATATATGTTTCTATTAGCGATATCGATTGTAGACACCCAATGAATTCAAATGTCCATTTTACTTTTCAGCTGGCACGAGCTCGGTATTACGTGAAGATGACGCTACTACTCGCCTGCTGGGTTTTCTTCACTATTGTATTTCTATTGTACAATGAAAAGGAAGAAATAGTCAGAAATTCTTCAGTCAACCCTGGAGAAGTCAAAAGTAAGTTATTTTTTTAGTTTTTGTAGTTATTGATCGAATTCATGAAAATGCTCAAGATGTGTGTATTTTTGTGCAAATACGATATCTTCGCCCATAGAAAGCCGATTTTCTTGATCGATTTATTTTAATAAATCCATTTGAATTTTATAAACGTGAAAGCAACTCTAATCTGTTTGTTTGTTGCCTGTTTATGCTTAAACCTCACGAACAGATTTCGATGAAATTTGCCAAGAACATAGATTGCATCATGGGATGGATCTTAATAACTAGTAATTATCATTTTTAGAACGCCATAAAGTGTTAGCTCAGGGCCCTCCTACATTCACGGTCCACTCCTGCATAATATATACAAACTTTTGCAAGTTTCGGCATATCTATATAACAACTAGAGGCTTATCCTCGCTTTGTTCGGGTTCACCTTTAGGAAAACAAAAACAATCTATCCCACGGGAACCGTATATTTTTCCGGGATAAAAAGTAGTCTATGTGTTATTCCAGACTATAATCTATCTCTGTGCCAAATTTCATCCAGATCCGTTCAGCCGTTCTGGTGTGAAAGAGTAACACACATCCATACATACTCACAAACTTTCACTATAATATTATATAATAATATAATAACACGGACGCATTTTGTGTGATTTTTCATAGCACGTGTAACGCCAAAATAGACGTCTTTGTTCAATAGATTGAATTATGTGCTATTTATAATTTGGTCAGCCTTTAATTCAAAGTTAATGCCAAAAAGCGTAGGAAGCATTTTCTTTCACATTAATATATATATATATATATATATATATATATATATATATATATATATATATATATCTAGAAAATTTTACATAAAAGCTAATAAATCTGTTTGTTTTTATATTTATTGGAATGCGCTTATCTCTAAAGCTACATACATACCATCTTGTACCATATTTGAAAAAAATCTTGTGCATTTTCTAGCCATTTATTGAGAAAACTTATGGACTATTTAACATAGCGCTATAACGTCTAAAAACGATACAATTATACGTAAATAAACAAGAGTCGCGGCCAAAAGTAAAAAATAGAAAACCAAGTAATAGTTAAAAATCAAGTTTTCTGCAAATATCTCGAAAAATTTAAGGTTATTGTAAAAAGTGTTATTTATAAAAGTTGTAGATATTGACCTACAACTTTTGTAGAAAATATTTTTCTATAGAACGTCACAGTAAGTCGGAAATAGGAAAAAAAACTATTTTTCAACGCTTTGCGTCCCCCCATTTCTCGGGAGGGACATTTTACGAATTTCTATGCCTTATATACCTGCTAACATTTTAAAATCATAAAACTTCCGGTTTTCAATATTTTGTTCTCAAACCGGATTCCGATTGGACTACTAACAAAGTAAGTAAACATAAATGAAACCTATAAAGACCTAGGTGATGTTGTAACACGGTCTTCGGTGAATGACCTAGCGCTGCACGTCTGAGTACTAACGTGTATGCGAATGTAAATAAACTTGCTACTAAACTTATTTTTATTCTTTGTGTTTTAAGATTTCTGTTGCTAGTTCACTTGGGTTTTGTGTATTAAATTTTTGATGCCAAACGTTTTCTCAACGTATTCTTAGTTCTTACTTTACAATAAATAGGTTAGCTATTTAAATATATATCTATATATATATATATATATATATATATATATATAGATATATATATTTAATATATATATAGATATATATATATTTAATATATATATATATATATATATATATATATATATATATATATATATATATATATATATATATAAGGGTAGTACTGGCTTCGCCGGTGAGTCCCACACCTCGTGCGTAAATGCATTTCCCAACATAAAAAAAAAAGGTTAGAATCTATCTGTGTATCAAATTTCATCAAAAGCCGTCCAGCCGTTTCAACGTGTAGGAGTACAATACAAACAAATTTACGCACTTTATAATAGTAGTGTGATGTCTGACTAAGTGCATAATACAAAATATTTTATATCCATAATACTTAAATGTGAAAGGTAACTATAAAACTCTATCTGTTACCTTTTCATTCTTAAATCGCTGAACAGATTTCGATAAAATTTGGCAAGGACGTAGTTTGCATCCTGGGGACGGATATAGCCTACCCTTCAATCAAGCTCCGCTTATCACGCGAGTGAGGCTGCGGGCAAAAACCAGGTTCTTATAAAGAGGGATCGCGATCAAGAGTTCATGGATTTTGTAGAAACTGTGTGTGTTTTGTTTAACTTATGGACTATCTAACATCGCGCTATGACATCTTAAAACGATACAATTATACGTAAATAAACAAAAGTCGCGGCCAAAAGGAAAAAATAGAAAACAAAGTAATAGTTAAAAACCAAGTTTTCTGCAAATATCTCGAAAAATTTAAGGTTATTGTAAAAAGTGTTATTTATAAAAGTTGGTTGATCTACAACTTTAGTAGAAAACATTTTTCGATAGAACGTCACAGTAAGTTGGAAATAGGAAAAAAAACTATTTTTCAACGCTTTGCGTCCCCCCATTTCTCGAGTTGGACATTTTACGAATTTCTATGCCTTATATACCTGCTAACATTTTAAAATCATAAAACTTCCGGTTTTCAATATTTTGTTCTCAAACCGGATTCCGATTGGACTACTAACAAAGTAAGTAAACATAAATGAAACCTATAAAGACCTAGGTGATGTTGTAACACGGTCTTCGGTGAATGACCTAGCGCTGCACGTCTGAGTACTAACGTGTATGCGAATGTAAATAAACTTGCTACTAGACTTATTTTTATTCTTTGTGTTTTAAGATTTCTGTTGCTAGTTCACTTGGGTTTTGTGTATTAAATTTTTGATGCCAAACGTTTTCTCAACGTATTCTTAGTTCTTACTTTACAATAAATAGGTTAGCTATTTAAATATATATCTATATATATATATATATATATATATATATATATATATATATATATATATTTAATATATATATAGATATATATATATTTAATATATATATATATATATATATATATATATATATATATATATATATATATATATATTCTAGTCCTCCAACTATCTCTACACCAAAAAAAAATCACGCCTCTGTTTCAAACAAAGTCAAACTTTAGAAACACCGAAATAAAGAAAGAGAAAGTGTCAAATCTACAAAAGCATCCAGTAGTTTATATATTAATTTTAAGATTGCGTTTATAATTATAAAGTAGTAGTAGGGAAAACGAAAAAAGAGATTTTTACGTTTTCCCGTAAAATATTTCCAATTTTTCTCTTCTTAAAACTTTCGACCGACTTCAACGAAAATAAAAAAAAAATATCCGAATTGGTCCAGTCGTTCCCGAGTTTTGCGCTTAGCAACATATTTAGCCATTCATTGTTATTTTTATTTATAAGATTAACAATACGTCCGTCAGATTCAATAGTTTTTATAATTATATGGACAAATTGGATAATAATCATGAATCGTAATATCGCTATGCGCGCTTGAGCAATGAGAGGACGTTAATGATTGCAGGCATGATGTAATATTTAAAAAGAGGCTATAAAGCGCAAGGCATTTCTTTACATGGGACTGATGCAAACTTTGTGTGCCTTTTTTTCCATCCCACTGCTGGGGGTGGGCCTCCCTTCAATACTAAGGAGATCAGGCCATAGCCCACCACGCTGGCCAAGTGCGAGTTGGCGGACTTTACGTCTTTGAGGGTGTATTGTATAATCGAAGATATTTACGACTGCAAAATTAGAATATACTTAATTTGAGTGTGGGGTCATTGTTTGATGTATCGGACATAAAAGTAGTGGTAGGCCGAGAAAAGTATGGATAGAATGTATGTAAGAGGATGTTAGTATGAAAGGTGTGTGAACTGAGATTATGCCTGAGGCAAGCGGAAGAGAGAAAAACCGGAAGAAACAAGAATTACCAAAATAAAAAAAAACCCGACTGCGTAAAATATGAACCAAAAAGAAGAGAACAAGTTGACGAAGAAACATAGTATTATGCAGTCGGAGACATACATATAATTAAAATAGCTTAGATTACTTTTAACTAAATAAGTTGTATATATTTTTGTAATCACCTCTTAAAAAAGCTGTATTTCGATACCCCACTCGATTGTTTCGGATAAAAAAAAAATGTTTCTAGACACAAATTGACGCTTAGGGTCCGCTATTATGATTTTTAATGATATCTATATACCCTAAGACAGTCGTGTTATCAAGATAAATCGAACGACGTATGAATCATCGAAATCGGTTAAGCTGTTTAGTAATTACGAGGGAACATATATTTGGACATACATACATACAGGTCAAACACATAACCCTTCTTTGGGCTTCGCCGCAGTCGGGTAAAAAGAGGTTTGATTTCAGCAAATCAGAAACAGTTTATGAAGTCGTTTAAAAATATTTAACTCTAGATAGCAAGTGTTGCCACGTTTTTGAATAGATTAATAACTAACGGAAACCACGTTTTGTACCAGGATAAGAAGTAGCCATTAAGATAATACCAATATCCGGCTTTTAAGTTATCTCGATGCAAAAGTTCAAGTAAACAAGAGTCAATGACTCTTTTTGTGAAAGTAGGACAAACCAACAAACACTTTTTAATTATATTAAGTACATTCCCGATGTATACTACTATTATAAAAATGAAAGTTTGTATGTGAGTGTGTGTGTATGTATGTATGTTTGTTTGTTATCCCTTCACGCTGAAACTGGACGGATCATCCAAATCTATCCATTCGTTAGCATGAAGGAGCCTGCTAGCTTCAAACCACATTCCTTTGCGGGGTAATCAGATAGAACACAGTGTCTCTACGATCTCTAAATACTTCTCGAGCTTCTTTCATTGCCTTAATTTTCTTTATAGACTGGGGTTATTTGATTTTTGACCTGGCCGTATATATTGTTACTGCCTCGGTGGTTCAGTGGCTAGCATGTATGGCTACATATCCGGAGGTCCTGTGTTCGAGTCCTGGGTCAGACTAAGTTTAATTACTGAGTTTTCTGTTAAGGTATTCTCAGTAACAGCCCGGAGTTGACGAGTTATTAAATAAGGATGATGATTAAGTAAGGTTTTCTTTCCCAGATTATCTGTTGAATATATCGGATTCTCATCTATCTATGAAAGTAAAGATTTCTGGGCCGTTCCTGACTGAGCAGGCAGAGCGAAGGCTGAATGCGTCTGAAGAGGATGATTTTAGGAAAATGGACATATGGCTGGAGACATGGTCTTTGGATCAACTGGATGATAATAAAGAGGTACGTACGGCTTTATAGCTCTATATAAAATTTTGCATTCAAGTAATGTATAACTATTGAAAAAAGTAGTTAAATTGTCAAACTTCTAATATATAGAACTGTGTTGACGTAGACTCTTAAAGTCCACGAAATTATTATCGTATAAATTTTATAAACGAAAAACTATGAAAGTTTTAAGTTTTTCGTATAAATAAAAGAAAATAAAATTAATAAAAACTGGCATAGATAACTTACAAATACTTATTTTAAAAAATACCTATACAGAACATTGCCGTCTGCTAGTCGCATTGCTTATCAGGTCATAGAAGCCATTAAATGTTTATTATCGGACTACTATTAACACCTCCTGGTAAATTTCTAAGAAATCTATTGTTAACTGACACGCCGGCGTGTCCGCGGTCGTGGCGGAATAAAGTATATCTGCAAAAGTTTGTATGTGTGTATGTTTGTTACTCTTTCACGCTAGAACGGCTAAACAGATCTGAATGAAATTTAGCACAGAGATAGATTATAATCCAGGATAGCACATAGGCTACTTTTTATCCCAGAAAAAAGCACGGTTCCCATGTGATAGGTTTGTTATTGTTTTTATATTTTAGATTAAATATGCTCATCACTTCCAGACATCCAAACGCTGGACAATTCTCCTTCAAAATAACAACCTGGATTTCAGTCAAGGGGAATCCCGTTCTGGCGTCTTGGATATACACACGACCAATCAGACCGATGGCTATTCACTACGAATTCGCACATCAGCCAATGAGAGCACGCCTTTTAGTATGAGCTACACCATAAACCCACTACATCTCAGGAGTGGTGTTTTGTACGCTTGTGTACTACTTTGTGGGTTATACGTCTTGATAATTTTTGAGGTAAGACAGGTTTCTGTTAATTAATACTATAAATGTGTCCATATAAAAAAAGATTAATTTTTTTTATACTTCTCTCTCTTTTACTTTGTCTGATTTTAGCCCCTGACGCACCAGTAGGGTTGTTAAAAGTTTTACGTGTATCTGTGTTTGTCGGTATGTGGCATCGTAGCGCCTAAATGGATGTATCGGTTTTAATTTTGTTTGAGAGGTGACTTTATCAAGTGTTTTTAACTAAATCATGAAAATCCGTTCAGCCGTTTGCAGGCTATCTAGCTCTTTTCTAGACAGAAAAAGTATATGAGCAACTTCCAAAGATCTAATCCAATCGAAACTTGGTATCCCGTTACTTTAATGGCATTGCAATAATATGGTAACCTTGGTCTGATGCTGCAGCATCATCTGGAATCTGCAAGACCCTCAATTCTTTACTAAAATACTGAAGATATCTTATTTAGACAAATTAAGTTGACCTCAATTAATAAGCTATTTTGTTGGTTTTTTTTTTTGTTTTTAATTTCAGAGTTATGTTATTAAAATCACACTTCCGTTATAATAGTACTACACTATACTTTTCAAATCGTATATTACGATTAGAATCTAACTAGTTGAAAATGTAATTTCAAGATTAGATTAAAATTTATCAGTTTTTAAAGCAACAGCTTCCGATCAGCAAACTCTATGTAATAGTTTGAGCTCTAAATACTTAGCAGCTTCTTTAAAAATGGGGTCATCTTTATATGGTCATAGATAAGACTAGTTAAGTAACATAGTAGATATTTACGAGTAAGTATATATTAGAACAATACACGTGTGCACTGATATCCATCTATTTAAATAGGCGGAAATTTATACCTAATTATACGTGGCAGGTATAAATATATATCAACTTTGAACCATTTTAAGCTTTATGCTCAAGTCATAAGGTTGATTTTTGATGTAATTTTCAAAGAGATCTTGTCGTCGTCGTATTTTAATAGTATATTATGTCAGCTCAATCTAACAATAAGTCATGTGTCAATCCTGGTGCAATTTCAGACCCTTACTTACATATCTATTTTGACACTTCAGTTAGCAATAAATGGAGGGAACTAAATTAATTTTCAAGAGTAGCTCTTTACTATAAATCTATACTAATATTATAAATACGAAAGTTTGTGAGGATTTGTGGAAAATAGGTATACCTATAATAATGTCTATTTCAATAATATTTTCCAAAAAATATTTAATGTACAAATTCGGCTTAGTTACAATTTTATTATATGTATGGATTATAACAAGGCAACAATTTATATGAATCACGAAACTATACAAGGTTTCAAAAGTGTTTCTTTTTAAAAGACAGTGTTATCCCAGTGGTAATACGCTTGCTTGGAAAACTAAGTGAAGCGGGTTCAAATCCCCGGTCTCGTAGCTCTGATATTTTCATGTGCGAATCATTTTCAACATGATTACCACTTGTTTTATGGTGCAAGAAAACATCGTGAGGAAACCTACATGTCTGAGAGAACCTAGCAAGTTTTCGATAGACATGCTCAGTCATTTGGCCAGCGGACTATGCCCTGATTTTTTTCGCTTTATTGGTATGCCCAGTAGTGGGATACAAGTGTTTTAAAGATATATTTTTAACGACATACGCTATGATGTCATCATTTTAGTTCAAACTTAGTTACTTTTATGGTTATAGAAGAAAAAACTTTAAAAAGTATAGAACTAGTATATATAATATAATTTAAGCTAATCAAATGTGTTAGACAATTTTCGAGAAATTAGATATCGTACTTACCAAAAATTATTTACCTGTCTAATATAGCAGGTACCACTCCGTCATTTTTGGCGTTAAAAATGTAAAAATCGATATATTAGCACTTGGTTAGAAAAAAAAGTTTACAGTATTATTTTTTTATTAAAAAAACATTGCTTAAGGGGGTAAAATAGGGGTTGAAAGTTTCTAGGAAACTTGGTATTAATAATCTGTAATACAATTAAATAAACGCGTGACATAAAAATTTTGTAATTAATCCCTTATGGGGGTAAAAGTTGGTAAGAAAATCCACCATTTATATTGTTAAAATTAAGTATTCAAGATAAAAAATAAGCAATACGTGTTATCAATCAGATTATTCGAAATCCGTCCCCTGAGAGGGTAAAAATATTATCGGGGTCGAGTTTATATAAAAATCAACTTTAATGATATTGGCGTTTAATTAACGAAATTAATTGTCGGTGAAACAGAAACTGTCCCCTAAAACAGCCCCCTAACCATGCTTAGGGGATCCCTTAAACTTAGGTGACGTTGGTGAAATCGGCCATTACTCTTAAAAACAACTGTGCTACTGTTGATAATAACGTTCTGCTTGAAGAATAAGAAATCTATACATTGTTATAATAAAATTGTAACGAGATTGTGAGAGAACTATGCCGAATCTTTACATTAAATATTTTTTGGAAAATCTTATTGAAATAAACATTATTATCGATACATTATAATCTGTAGTTTTTAGAATTTTTGTCTGTCTGTCTGTTACCGCATCCTAATAAAACCACTGGATGGATTTTGATGAAATTTGGTATGGTGATAGCTGGTTATCCGGGTCAACATATAGGATACTTTTTACAGCGAGAAAACGTCTCATTTCTGAGAAAAAATACAAAAACTATAATGTTAGAGTATACTAATATGTAAAACCTAAGAATTTGGTTTATGGTCATCTGAACGCGGGAGGAGCCGCGGGCAATGCTAGTAGAATATAAGTTTGTCGATTATGGCTAAGTATAACTTAAAATTTAGAAATAATTATTGAATAATTAGCTTTTATTTAAGCTTTTCCTTAATTCCAGATTATCAACCGGACCATGGCAGCAGTCCTCATCTCAACAGCATCACTAGCAGTTCTCTCTCTTGTTGGTGAAAGACCATCTCTACCTCAGCTGGTCTCCTGGCTGGATATGGAGACCCTACTCCTGCTGTTCAGCATGATGATTCTAGTCGCTATCATGGCTGAGACGGGGATGTTTGACTTCTTGGCAGTTTATACTTTTGAGGTCAGTTTTTAGGTTATTTGACTGAAAGTTTTTGTAGTTTTTTAGAGAACTAACAGTACCCGCGGCTTCGCCTGCTTTCAAAATTCCGATCGCTATCAAACTTTACAGGGTCACCCGCTGGGCTAACTTGAACATTACCTGAAAATTTCATCAAGATCGCTCCATTCGTTTTAGAGTCCATAGGGTACAAACAATAACCACATCAATTTTTATATACAAATAGGTATGTAGATTAGTGAAATTACTTCAGTTTAAGTTATTTTGCTATATCAATATTTTTGAATAGCCACCTTTTTGAACACAATAGATTTTTTATAAGAGTTCATATAAATTGTAAACAGAAAAATTATGTAAATGGACTTTATTTTCAAGCCCTACAGCTAGAGTAAGTATAACTCAAAACACGATATAAGTTAATTCGTTCGATAGAAAAATATAACCTTAATAGGTTTCCAATTAAGAAGATAAATATAGTTTATAATTTATATGATGTCATTATTATATAAGATTTAGTAAAAAATAAATAATTAAAAAGGATTTATAGAAGTTAATGAAGATTGGGGTTTTGGTAAGTCAAGCAGTGCACTTATATAGAGATCATCTATACTAAAATTATAAAGAGGTAAAGTTTGTGAGATTGTGAGATTGTGAGTTTGTGAGATTGTGACGTTGTAGGGGATAATTTCTGGATCTACCGAACCGATTTAGATGAAATTTGGTAAGAATATAGTTTGAAACCTGGGAAGGACATAGGATACTTTTTTTCCAGAAATCATCCCCTAAAGGTAAAGTAGTGAAAATGGGAATGAAAGTTTGTATGGGGAATCAAGATAGGGACGAACCCGAGCGAAGCGAGGGTGAGTAGCTAGTTGACATATAAAATCATAGAACATACATATAAAAACATAGAAAAACCTAAAACATACAAACATTTCCTAACAAATATCTTTTCAAAAAGTGGCGTCGACATGTAAAGTTAAGTCAAACCAAAGAAGAGAATTCAAAAATCAAAAGTTCTAATTGTCTAAACACAAATTCTAACTTACGCACACCACATAAAGTACTTTTTTAAACGAAACAACGTGCGTTTTAATTTTATGATCCAAAAAGCAATAGACCTTTTGTTTAGATTTGAAAAAAAAATGCCATTCAATTTCAATATTTGTGCTTCTTTTTTAGAACACTTTTGAGACGCTAATTATGTATCTTGAGTTTTGACGACACGTTTGGCTCAGTTTGTAGTGATCCTACTTGCTGTGCCAGCGGTCGCGGGTTCGAGTCCCGCTGGGGGCATTCATTTGTGTGATGAGCACGAATGTTTGCACTCCAGTCATGGGTGTTTATATGTATAATATGTATGTATTTAAAGTTAAATATGTGTAGTATATCAACTATCTAGTATCCATAACACAAGCCTCGTAGCTTACCATGGAACTAGATGGCACTGTGTGTTAATGTCCCCACATATTTATTTTATGTCTATTTATTTGTAAATCAGTGATAGATATGGACGCAACACATGCTGTAACTTTTCTATTCTAGATTTAGGGTTTTTCACGAGACTACTAAGTGGTCTTTTTATCGCAATGATAACGCGCGTTTCCATTGATACGAACGCTAAGTAATATTATTTTTTATCAATATCGAATTAGACCAGCGCATTTATTAAACCTGGTGTGCTCCTTATATAAAATCAACGTCTTCAACATATGTAAATCAAATATTTTTAGAATCAAAACTATACACCATGATGGGACTTAAAATCTTTTTTTTATCCAAACAGAGGTTCTCTGTAAGTTACTAAGTCCTGAATTCGATTCTCTCTGGAAGAAATTCTTAGTAGCGGAGTAGAAAAGTTGACTTCTATCCCCGTCCTGAAATTATGGTTATTCGAATTTTATCTAGATTTCATTAAAATTTTAAGAGCAATTATGACAAGTAGTTATAATGCATGGGTCTCGTCAAATCGAATCAAACGTGCCTGAGCATTTTTTATTAATTTGATACGCCTATATGGTATTATTGCGAATATGCCTGGTCTATATATAGTGGTCCTTGCTAGAAGAGTTAGACTTCACCACTAAATCATGCAGCTGTGATGTACTGCAGACTTTGTTTCCGGCTTCATTATTCTATCTGGATTTAAAAAGCCTTTCCTTAGATTGATACACACACTCCTACACAAAATGAAGTGGACTTTGATCAGCATCCATATCTTCTGAAAGTTTAACCAGTAGCCATGAATGAACAGTTCCACTATCCTCCTGACTCCATCATCAGATTGGCTTGATGGAATCAAATAACTTTATTGTTCGCATTTCACATAGATGCAAAATTTCAAATCTATATAGTATATACCATTTAGAAGTGGGCTATTGTCGATTTTCAAGATTTGTTTACATATTTTGTTAATTACTAATAAGTAAAAATAATTTTGTATTCAGCCCTATTTTAACGTCCCACTACTGGGCACAAGTCTCCGTCCAATTTATCAGGGTATCAGGCCATAGTCTTCTCTCAGACATGCAGGTTTCCTCATGATGTTTTTTTTCACCGTAAGACAAGTGGTAATCATGTTGGAAATGGTTCGCACATGAAAATATCAGAGGTGTGAGACCCGGGATATAAACACGCTTCACTCGGTTTTCCAAGCGAGCGCGTTACCAATTACCACTATGCTACCACTGGCTTTTTAAAAAATATTTTTACGTTATATATATATATATTTAAAGTAAATATATATATATATATATATATATATATATATATACATATATAAACGAATAAAGCCATAAATAAAAACTAGTATTCATAAAATTAAACAAACACATCTCATAACTCATTACATAGATAAGAACGGCTTATCTGACATGATGAAAGCAAATAGAGAAAGATAGAAGATGTAATACAGACCACACTAAGATAACATACGATCATTTCTAGTTCAAGGGTGAATAAACGTTGTCAAGTTATATCACGTCAAGGCAAATAATAATAATAATAATGAATTCTTGATCTATTTCGGCCATAGCGATCAAACTCTCTAAGACTAGCATCTGCCAAGAAATATTATAGTGCAGAAATATACGCGCAATCACAAGATAACGCTCTATACGTTTTATACTCAAACTCCGGTGGGACGATATTTTGATACGACCGGTGAGAGATCGTGCAGGATCAACAGCTTTACGCACTCGCCGACTTATGGAGTTGAAACGTCGCTAACATCCCGATTCCGAGATGTTATTAGCTTAACAGAAAGACTTATGAATTAACATGGCCCAACAAAGAAGTTTTTGAAGTGAAACTTCTTTAGAATCGTTGTGATTTGAAACTCGATGAAACGAAAATGCGACACTAAAAAGAGACAAAATATATTGCCACGTTGCCATAGTAACCGTATATATATAAATAATATTATATATATTATATATATATAACTGCCTCGGTGGTGTAGTGGCTAGCATGTACGGCTGCACACTCGGAGGTCTTGGGTTCGAGTCCCGGGTCAGGCCTAGTTTAGTTATCGTGTCTTTCTGTGTAAGTAAGTCTCAGTAACAGCCCGGAGTTGGGAAGTTGGCGGTGTTTCACCCCCGTGCCTCGGAGAGCACGTAAAGCCGTCGGTCCTGCGCCGACACTCTCACTGGTCGTGTCGAGTAGTCGTCCCACCGGAATATGAGAGTGACAGGAATAGAGAGTGCACTTGTGTCTGCGCGTACACTTGTGCACTATAATATCTCCTGCGCAGTTGGCTAGTCTCAATGAGATTGGCTGCCGTAGCCGTAATCGGCTACGAGAACATCATCATCATCATCATCATCATCATTCTTTTTGTATATGATATTCTATAAACAAATAATACATTAAATTACAGTGAAATTCCTTGAAATTTAATTCTTCACTTGTATACCTAAATGTCATTATCAAATGAATCCTTAAAACATCAATACCTATATTAAGAAAAAAATCTTTAATTTAATAAGTTTTGTCTAACACAAACCTCGAACCCAGAACCTTATAAGCTATAGGTACAGCTGAAGTAGGAAGAGGAAATTTTAGTCATATGTAGGTTCTATTAGTATTAATAGAGTTTTTTTTACCGACTTAAAATATAAGAGGTCCGGAATTGTTTTCAATATTAATTAATTAAACCTTTTTTTTTGACGAATTGGTTATACTTTGAATATTCCTGAAGTCCAATATTGTGAATTTCAGGATAAAATACCACTCCAACGGTATGTACTTTTTGAGTAATTAATTATATTTTTTTCTAGGTAACTAAAGGAAAATTATGGCCGTTGATAACTTTGCTGTGCGCCATCACAGCACTGCTGTCTACATTTTTAGACAATGTCACCACCGTACTACTGATGACACCAGTAACGATCAGGTGAGTTTTGTTTACTACTAGCATCTTCCCATAGCTGTTCACGTGCCCATATAGTGTGTTAGCTTACCTATATCCTTGCAATATTTCATTGAAATCTGTACAGAAGTAACAAACTGATAGTTACTTTCATTTATATATTTAACTCGCTTATTTTTTTTTTTGCAATTGTCTGTAATAAAATCATTAGTATTCAGTCCTTTTTAACGTCCCACTGCTGGGCACGAGCCTCCTTTCAACACGATTGGGATCAGGCCACAGTCCACCAGGCTGGCCAAGTCTGGCGGACTTTACATGTCATCCGAAAACTTGCTAGGTTCTCTCAGACATGTAAGTTTTTTCTGAGAAAATTTACCATAGTAATGTGTATTGTTTATACCATCAGAAAGTAGAGATTTCAACGAACAAAAAGCCCACCGACTTTTTTAAAAAAGCAGATATTTTGACGCGAGAATGTTCGATTGAAAATTAGGAAATTTTCGATATTAAGTCGAAATAAGGCAAAAAAAAATTTTAAATAAAAAAAAATACAGTATGGGACATAAAAAGGTAAGTTTTTACCAAATTTCATGAGAAAAACCTTTTTTTCTTTGTAAAAAATAAATATAAAAAACCAAAAACTTGGTTATTTCAATATTTCACAAAAATTTTGAGGTTATGTGAAAAAAGTGTAAATACAATAGTTGTAGATTTTTTTTATTACCTACAACTTTGCGATTTAATTTTTTTCCATAGAACATGTAGTTTTGCCGGAAATCGAGATAAGCCGCTTTTACCCCTAAAAGCTGACCCCCTCCCACTTCCCGACGTCAGATCGCCCGTAAATTATTTTTCCTTTCATTTTGTTATATTCTCTTTCTTTTCCAATGGGTTTCATTCTACTATTATTTTTTCCATTTTTTAACATTTTCTAAGGCTTCAGCCCTGGTCTAGGATGAGTCGCTAGTAATTAAGAAACTAAAACCTATTTACTAAAAAGATTTTTGACATATATTTCTCAGGTTATGTGAGGTAATGGATATGGACCCCGTGCCGATATTGATGTCGATGGTCCTGTTCAGCAACATAGGAGGCACGGCGACCCCCGTGGGGGATCCCCCTAACGTCATCATAGCGTCTAACAAAGCTGTTGTACAGGCGGTAAGTGAATATTTTTTTGCTGAATTTTAACAACAAACTTACACCTTTAAAATTTTGAAACAAAGAAAATCTTATAAATAAGGTAGGCAACTTATAAAACTTAGAGGAAAAGCACACTTTTAAAAGGTAGGTATTGTGTATATTATTTATTTATTTACATATTTATTTATTAGGTGAAAACATACTTTTTGAAAGCTTTTTTTAAAGTAAAATGTGTATTTTATACCAAGAATAGATATTTAAACGTATACATATAATTCTATGTGAGTGAATTAATTAAGTGGATTAATTTATTAGTTAATATAGTTTATCTTCTTATATATATAATTCTTCTGTGAGTGTGTATGTCACTGAACTTCTCTCAAACGACTGGACCGATTTTCATGAAATTTTTTGTGTGTGTTCAAGGGGATCTGGGAATGGTTTAGATTCACAATTTGAATAATAATTTTCATCAAAATGGTCCAGAATGTTTTAGCTTATTAAAAAAAGTTTGAAATTTTCAAATTAAAGACGTGTAGACAGGACAACGTCTGTCTGATCCGCTAGTTATTTTATAAAGTACTAGCATTCCCCGCGGCTCCGCCCGCGTTCAGATGACCAAAAACCAAATTCTTAGGTTTTACATATTAGTATACTCTAACATTGCAGTTTTTGTATTTTTTCTCAGAAATGAGATATTTTCCCGCGGTAAAAAGTAACATATATGTTGACCCGGATAACCAGCTACCATCATACCAAATTTCATCAAAATCTGTCCAGTGGTTTTCTCGTGACGCGGTAACAGACAGACAGACAAAAATTCTAAATACTATAGATTCGGACTCTGTATCGATAATAATGTCTATTTCAATTAGATTTTACAAAAAATATTTAATGTACAGATTCGACTTAGTTACAATTTTATTATATCTATAGATAGATGGTCTTAATCTGTGCATGTCAGTGAGTGAATAAATTTACCTAAGATTTTGATTAAGTAGATGAGCAGAAGTGGAGAGAGCGAAATGAATGTCAAATATTTGCGTGAATCGAAGAAAGTATTAGAAAGCATCTAGCTTTTAATTGTTTTTCAGGGTATCAACTTCACAAATTTCACAATGCACATGACTCTAGGCATTTTGCTGGTGTGTGTACAGACATACTTCCAACTTCGGTATATATATCGTGATACAAGCAAGCTACGTCTTAACGTACCAAGAGATATACAAGGTAAGATATTTTCTTAACTTCATATAAAAAAAAAATATTATTTGTTTCCAGCAACCACTCACGTTTCCGTCGGACCCTTGCTGTACATACGGTCTAAGTAACTTTTATATAGTGACCTCTAATAAACTACTTATTACATAATAGCAACACCACCTGGTATCGATCGAGTTCGTCCCTATTGAAAAACAAAAGCGAATCTATCCCACGGGAACCGTACATTTTTGCGGGATAGGAAGTAGTGTATGTGCTATTCCAGACTATAACCTATATCTGTGCCACGTCCAGATCCGTTCAGACGTTCTGGCGTAATTGACTAACAAACACCCATCCAAACTTTCGCATTTATATTTAATAAATATATATTATGGGATTACCAGTAACAAGTGCCGTTTTATTATTTAGTAACATTCTTGGTGCCTTTTATATTCACATACAGACAACGCCATCTTTTGGCAAATTTTATTACTAAACACAGTCTACGTCTTACTCCAGGTCATACACTATCTGTGTACTAAATTTTATTCAAATCAATTCAGCCGTTTCAGGAGTTGCAAACAAAGAATAGACTCTTACTGTTCACAAACTTATATGTTTTGTTTTTGTATTCCAGATCTACGTCACCAAATATCAATATGGCGTCGCGCGATCGAATCTCTCCCGCATCTAAGTAAAGATCAACAAGTTGTTAGAGAGAGATTGGAGAGAAAAATAAAGAAACTCAATCTTCAGTTAGAGAATATGGAGAAGGAGAGTTCGAAGAGAGTTTGTCCGAAAGAGACTTTTCAGACTACACTAAGTCAGTTGAAGGATAAAGTGAGTATATTAATTTATAGTGTGTATTCTATTTCTTATGGACCTTTTTTTCATTCATTTTAATCCGAATTTTAATATTATAAATGTGAAAGTTTGTAAGTATGGATGATTGTTACTCTTTTACGCCAGAACGGCTGAACGAATCTGGATGAAATCTGGCACAGAGATAGATTACAGTCTGGAACAACACATTTTTATCCCGGAAAAATGTACGGTTTCCGTGGGATAGGTTTGTTTATGTTTTCCTAGAGGCCAACCTGAACGAAGCGAAGGAAAGCCGTTAGTCTACATAAATAAAAATGAAATCCTCTTCGTTGGTAAGCGCATCACCTGAGAAGGGTAGGACCGATTTGACAATTGCTTATAAATATTTTAAGATTTCTTTTTTGAATCAAAATCAAGAATTCGGGTAAAACTGAAAGTGTATTTTTAATAGGAAATTTGTATGAAGGTCACACACTTTACTGAAATTTGTACAGGACCACGTCAGACTTTGCTACATATACAATATACATCTGTTTCTATAAATATACATATTTTAATAGATGAAATTCTTTATTAATATAAGTCTTTAAACTTTCATGGTGACTGACCATATTATTGTGATGGCAAACAGAATATTTACCATGTTTAGTTAGCACTTACCTACGTTTGAAAGTGCTCGTTTATCTACCCTCTTTCTAGTTCGTTTTGTACGTTTGTTACCACTTCACTCTTTACGAATATGCCAGTGTACTGCATATATTTGTTTGTTTGCTTATTTATTTATTTTTTTGACATTAACACATAGCGCCATGTAGTTCCATGGTAAGCTACGAGGCTTGTGTTATGGATACCAGATAGTTGATACACTACAAATATAAAACTTTAAATACACATTATAAATATAAACACCCACGACTGGAGTACAAACATTCGTGCTCATCACACAAATGAATGTCCCCAGCGGTACTCAAACCCGCGACCGCTGGCACAGGAAGTAGGGTCGCTACAAACTGAGCCAAACGTGTCGTCTAACATCCCGTGTGTGTAACATCCCGAGTGAATACTTTAAATAACTTAAGGTATTCAACGTCACTGCTTATCGACCAGTTACTTTATTTATCAGGGCCAATACAACCTGCAGGTTAGTTCTTGAAGTGGCCAACTGGCAGATGGAGCATTTAGAAGAATTCTCTTCTCAAAAGAAAGAAAGACTCTTTCCACAGCACCTACGACTATAAATCTGTGGAAAATGCTTGCTTATGACCTTTGTAGCACAAAATATATGTACAAACCTGTACTTTTCTTTTGTAAAATCGGCTAATATTACTTTTTTTGGTTACAGTACATAATTCGTGATAAAATGTTACTCCTGAAGTCAACCATCGCGATCAGTTTTGTTGTCGCTGTCTTCTTCTTACATTCGATTCCTGAATTAAGTAAGTGCTTATACTAAAGTCTATTTATCCATACCTCGTCTACCAAAGGCGTCTATACTTATATTCGCTGAATTCGCTGAATGAACCAAGCACTGAGATTTTATTTATTTATTTATTTATTAAGGAAACAAACGGTGTTACAAGATAAACATAGAATAACAAACAATTGATAATACATAACCAATAATAGTTTCCGTTGTTAAAATAACACTTATAACAAAGACATGGATACAGATGCAAAATATTAAAAATAACAATTAAAAAAAGACTTACAAATTTAAAAGAGACAGAGAGAGAGAGAGAGAGAGACAGAAATATTTTGCGCTTTCACGTGATTACAATGCAAGTCATTATTAGTCCGTCGTTGCATTCCGTAACGTTCAGACGTCTTTCGTGTAGTTTACCTGAATTATTATCAATGTAGGAGATGACAGTGATACGCCGTAAAGCGAAAATTAATAAAAAATGTATACAAATATTTAAAAATACAGTTAATTTTACTTTAATGTTGATTTTATTTGTAGGTTGATTTTATTTTATTACAAATTATTAATAATTCCTCACTAAAGCATTAGCAACATGAACGAGCCCTATGATTTTAAACCAGTTGCAAGTGTTAGTGGGCGGAGCTAGACAGTTTTCTGTTCTTATCAGTTTGTATGCTAATGTGGGACAGAGAAAGCGCTTTGCATGGTTCACTCCGTGAATAGATTAAAGATAGAGGATAGTATGGTGTGGGAGGAAAGGCGGGGAAGTGCTCCCGACTGACATACTTACTTTTATATGACAGTCGGGAAGCGGCTTTAGGGTTGACGGGTGTAACTATAATTTGCCACGAGATGGCACTATAGAAGTTTAACTTCGAAACTACTTATACATATATATAATAATATAAATACCGTATATTTGTTTGGGCAGACGAAACAAATTATTAAAAAAAAGAATTTGCATTTTTAGATCCTTTGAGTCGTGTTTGACAGCAAGCCACTAAAAAATATCAAGTCCATACAAAATCTATTTTTTATAAATAAACCCGTTTATATATTTTTTCAGATCGTGTATCACTCGGATGGACAGCTCTGTTAGGAGCTATCCTGCTTCTAACGTTGGCGGATAGAGAAGACCTCGAGCCGATATTGCACCGTGTTGAATGGTCCACGTTGTTGTTCTTTGCCGCTTTATTCGTTTTAATGGAGGTAAGTTTTTATTATAGCATCGCAATATAAGGGTTTTAAATACTGAATGCTGTTCCTGAAAATGGCTGGAAAATTAGGCTATTTTTAATAATTTTTTTAAATATGTCTAAAGCTATTTTTAAATGTTCGAATAAAGTACTTAAGAAATAAACTTTGAAAGTTATCTGGAAAATTGGGAACTTTGTGAAAAGTCAAAATTATTTTTTGAAAGGATTTTAGTGTGAACTACAACAGAATAAGTTACACATACGAATTTATTGAAATTTGGACAGATCAAAGTATTTCGAGTCGATTGTATATTTTATTAGTCACAACATTAATAGATTTGAAGAACATTATTCTGTATATATAAATAAATAAATATGTTGGAACATTAACACACAGCGCCATCTAAATCCATGGTAAGCTACGAGGCTTGTGTTATGGATACCAGATAGTTGATACACTACACATATATAACTTTAAATACATACATATTATAAATATAATATAATTTCAGGCACTTTCAATACTTGGCCTCATAGAATTCATCGGTGGTCTGACTGAGTCTCTCATATTGAAAGTTGATGAGAACGGAAGGTTGGCGGTCGCTATCATTCTATTACTTTGGGTAAGTTTATTTTATTACTTTATAAAACTTTGCTAAAACTATACTAGAGACTCAACCTGGCTCCACTCAGGTTCGTCCCTTGTTACGTTTTAACGTTTAGTATAGATTTCTCAGAGATGAGATATATTCCCGCAGTAAAAAGTATCCTGTATGTTGACCCGGATAACCAGCTATCATCATATCAAATTTCATCTAAATCTGCCCAGTGGTTTTCTCACCATGCGTTTCCAGACAGACAAAAAATCTAAAAACTATAGATTCGGCCTCTGTATCGATAACAATGACTATTTCAATAAGATTTTCCAAAAACTATTCAATGTACAGATTCGAATCAGAAATTATATTATAATAATGTATAGATAAGGTCTGTTTTATAAAGGTTGTGGTTTGAGATATTTGATATGTGCTAAATCATTTACGATTCTGAGATTTGTGTATTTGTTTAGACATCTCGGTTTTATAGACTAATCGGAATCCGTTTATTTTTAAGAGAAAAAAATATATATTGAAAACCTGAAGTATTATGATTTTAAAATGTTAGCAGGTATATAAGGCATGATGATGTTCTCCTAGCCGATTCCGGCCACGGCGGCCAATCTCATTGAGACTAGCCAACTGCGCAGGAGATATTATAGTGCTCAAGTGTACGCGCAGACACAAGTGCACTCTCTATTCCTATCACTCTCATACTCCGGTGGGACGACCACTCGACACGACCGGTGAGAGTGGCGGCGCAGGACGACGGCTTTACGTGCTCTCTCCGAGGCACGGGGGTGATACACCGCCAACTTCCCAACTCCGGGCCGCTACTGAGACTTACTATACAGGAAGACTCAATAACTAAACTTGGCCCGACCCGGGACTCGAACCCAGGACCTCCGGGTGTGCAGCCGTACATGCTAGCCACTACACCACCGAGGCAGTTATATATATTTGATGTATTTTTGATATAAGGCATAGAAATTCGTAAAATGCCCCCGGTGCCAAGCTACCCTCGAAAAATGGGGGGACGCAAAGCAGATTTTCCATATTTTGTTCTCAAACCGGATTTCGATTGGACTATTAAGTTTATGGTGTACAGATTTTAGTCAAAATCATTTATTTTGTTCTGTTAAATTAATCTATAAATACGCTTAATTTCAACTAGGTTTTATATTATTTAATCTCGGCTCTGATATTCTCAGTAGCGAATCATTTCCAACATGATTACCACTTGTTTTACGGTGAAAGAAAACATCGTGAGGAAACTTGTATGTCTCATAGAACCTAATTAGTTTTATAAATACTTATAACATCCGTCTAACTCTATATGCCTAGCATTCTGGATTATAATCAACTCCCAATTTGTATTGATATTCCATCAACCCACTAGTGGTATATTAAAATGAACTATATCTGAGGAAGACAGAGAATCATCGTGTCAGTGCTTATTTGTCTAAACGACCTATTTACCGAGAAAGTTTTTAGTACATAATTATTGACTTTTAAATGTTAATTCTATTCGTATTAAATACACATTTTCCTAAAAAGAAACCGAAAAAATGTATGTTATCTATATTCTATATATGTATCATAAATCTTAGAAATAAAGCTTAGTTTTTAAAATATTGGAAAAAACTCTCTTCTGTAAAGTACAACAAGTATTGGTGGTTTGAAAAATAAACACTAAGGCGACAATATATCACAGGGGTATTTTTCCAGGTATCAGGACTATCATCAGCCTTCGTAGACAACATCCCCCTAACCACCATGATGGTGAGGGTGGTTACCGCCCTCGGCTCCAACCCCACCCTGCAGCTACCGATGACGCCATTGATATGGGCTCTTTCCTTTGGCGCTTGTTTGGGAGGTAAGTTGTAGGTCAGAGTTTCTCAAACTTGGGTAGCTATACCTCCAGGGATTTGTAACTAAATTATGTATTTTTTTTATCCAACCAGGTAACGGCACCCTAATCGGGGCGAGCGCGAACGTGGTGTGCGCCGGAGTCGCCGAGCAGCACGGCTATAGGTTCACTTTCTTGCAGTTCTTTAGAATCGGTTTTCCTATTATGATTGGACATTTGATTGTTGCTTCTGCCTATTTACTTTTGTGTCATTGTGTATTTACGTGGCATTGAGTGGTAAAAGTTAGTGTGGGTGTCAGTCTGTTTGTGTTGCTTTTGTGGTATTTATAAAAAAAATGTTGATAGTGTGGTTTCTTTAAAGAGTAAGGTAAAAATGACTAAATAAAATGACGGACTTTCATTTTGAAATGTGACTTTACAAATATCGTTTCGAAATTTGATTTGTTTCTCATTGTATTTCTAAAATAAAAATATTTCATATCAAATCAATTTGTAAGTCGATTTCTGCCAATTCAGTGAACTAAAAAAAGGCTAAAAATTCTTCTTTGATTTCTTTACAGTATGATTTAATTCTAAATCCGGCATTGCTTGAATTTAATGTTTATATAAAGTTTGATAAAAAAAACCCAAAAATTTGATGTAATGGGAAAACAGGAAATGGCATCCAATTAAATTACACGTAACTTATTATTCATACTTTTAACTTACTTTCTTTGATTCACTTACGCATTATTAAGAAGATGGGAGTACCTAAGTAGCATAAAAATTTCTATCTCTTCAAACAGACAGATACTATCTGCTAATATTAATGATTTTTTAAAATATAAAATGCCAGTAACTTGTACTTTTATATGGCAAGAATGTGTACTGGTTTATGCAATTTCCTGAATGATAATTCTTACAATAAAACCTACACTATATAGTAAGAAATTTCAAAGCTAGGAATGTCAGAGCAAAAGTGGCCTAACTCAAAAAAATAGAAAATATTGCCATAACTAAAATTTAATTTCGAAAACTACTCTTACAAATAACATTTCGAAATAATATCTCAAGTACAATAATTGTATTACCTGTAGGTATGAGTTAATGCATTAATGCGACAATAAAACTCGATACTATTTAATTAACAAAAAATAGTGACTCCATTACACTTACAAGGCTTTAAGTACACATCGTTCTTTTTTAAGTATCTTTTTTCAATTTCATATATCTCACAGGGACTTAACTAACTGAAACAAAAAGCAGCAGTTGTTATTTCTTGGCAAAAAAATAATCTATTGTTAAAAAGATTATACTATTTTTTTTATTCAGAAATCGGCTTGATCTTCATCTTAGCTCAAAGGCATAGATAAGGTCTACAATGCAAAAACTTTCTAATTTATATATAAAACGAGCACTAAAATGTTAAAATGTGGAGTTATGCCATTTTTACACTGATTATATTATCAGCATATAAGTAATTAATGTATGTACCTTGATGAATTACCTGTGATAGTAAATATTTTCGTACGTAAAAAGAAAAGAAAACGTTCAAAAAATATGATTTCTTATTTCTTTATATTATGTATGTATATAAGAAAATTATATTAGTATTTCCATTAGATTAAATTAGACCTGGTTAAAGTCACATTTTTATTATATTTTTAAATAACTTTAAAAAAGAGATTATGATGTATATATATGTATATTTTAATTTTACGCGAAAGTTTCCAAAAGTCTGGAGAAAATTCTATATAAATTTGAAGACAAAATTTCTAAAGGTTCAATTGCAATTTTTTCCAATTTTTTTGAATTATATTAATAAGTCGCTTTGTCATTTCGAATTGTGCCGATATTATAGATATATGTAGAGAGGAATAAAATGTTTGTGTATAGACTATTAATATTAGATATATTATAAAAATAATAATATTATTTTAAATTATATCACGCACATAATAATAGCATCATGTTATAATAAATTATTTAATACATTTTTTTATTTAATTAATTTTAACTTTAGCTTCTAAATTGTATATTGTGGGTATGAGACATGCGAGTAATAACGTCGCAACTCGCTTTTGTAGCACTTTTTAGAGTTCAGACGAAATGTTACTGTACAATCGTTGTAGAATAGAAATAAACAAATATACGGGAATGAAATATTATGATTTTAAGTCAAAACGATTAAATTCGCCATTTCAAAACAATTTTTAATGTTTCTATTCTTCGACGATAGTAGAATGACATCCTGTCCAAGTCCCGTGGACTTTAAATATTATTATGAGAAATTAATATACCTACTATATTTAAATTATATCTATATTCATTTACAATGTTATACTTTCCAGTGTTAATGTGTTGGCACATGATATAAATGAATAGAAAAATATATATTTTGAATATTGAACGTCAACCGTGACAACCCTTCCTCTTGACCATTCTGTTGTATACTATTGTACCGATCCATCAGGTTATGGGCCCAGACCGTTGATTAAAGTTAAAATAATTTCGTATATTCGCATATTTTCAGTATATTTATAGTATTTGCATTTAAATTTTATATATAAAATAATTAATATATAATAAAAAAATATAAAACATGGCGTCGGCATTGTCATATAATATTCCCCTCGAAAAACTAAAGGGCTTAGAAGATTATAATCATTGGAAGTTTACGCTGAAAATGATTTTAATGCATGAAGATCTTTTCGATTGCGTAATGAACGAAGATGAAAAAGACGAGAAGAAAAAACAAAAGGCGTTAGCAAAAATTTGTTTGTCCGTCGGTCCATCAGCGTTGGCTCATGTACGCAATGCGAAGAGTCCTTATGAAGCCTGGCATAATCTCGAGCGTGCTTACGAGGATAAGGGACTATGCAGACGACTGGGATTACTGAGGTCGCTATTTGGTACGAAACTGTGCGAGACGGAAGGTATGCAAAGCTACTTATTAAAAATTACGGAGCTTGGGCAACAACTATCAGATATTGGATCCACACTTGACGATGAATTTCTAGCTGTAATTATGCTCAGTGGTTTGACGGAGGACTTTGATCCCATGATAATGGCTTTAGAAAATTCTAATATGAAACTCACAAGTGAGGTGGTCAAGTCAAAGTTACTGCAGGAGCAACAGAGGCGAGATGACAAGAGTCAAGATGGGGTCAACGCATTAGCTACTAGAAAAGAAAAGAGCTCAAAGGTCGTGTGCTTCAAGTGTAAAAAACCTGGACATATGAAGAAGGACTGTACCAGTAAAAGGAAAGTGTACAAAAATAATTCTGTACAAGAATCTACTGGGAAGCAGAATCCTGAGGCGTCGTTACTGTCTGCATTACGTGTGAATCTTCACAGTGATATATGGTGTATCGACTCTGGGGCTACTCATCATATGTGTAATAATAAAGATCTAATGTATGATTATCAGGATGTAAAGTCACTTGAGGTAAATGTAGCTAATGGGGACAAATTAACAACAGAAGGTCGGGGTAGAGTAAAGGTACAATTAGTAAATGGTACTAAAACTATAAATAATGTATATTTTATACCTGAACTTAGTGTAAATTTATTATCAGTAAGTGAGTTAGGTAGGAAAGGTTATTATGTTATTTTTAGTCATTTAGGTTGTAAAATTATGCACGATAAGGAGGTTATAGCTACTGGTACTTGTAGAAATGGTGTCTATGAACTCGACATTATTAAAACTGTAAATATGTATAATAGGAAATACAGTAGGAAATACAGTAGAAAACAAGAATCGGGGATTGCTATGAACTCAGTCCGTGAGGGGAGCGAGCGTACGGTGTTTTCAGATGAGAGCAAGGATTCTACACTGGCGATTGTGCAGAATTCAGCATCACAGGAACTGTGGCATAAGCGGCTCGGACATCTGAATGCACGGAGCATGAATTTAATGAAAAATGGTATTGTATCAGGTATGAATTATAAAAATACTACTTTCATTCCTTGTACTGCTTGTCTCGAAGGTAAACAGACAAGGCTACCTTTTCCAAAGAAAAGTAAAAGTAGGGCTTCCGAAATTCTAGGACTGGTACACGCAGATGTGTGTGGTCCTATGCAGTCACCTTCTTGGAGTGGAGCACGTTACTTTGTAACATTTATCGATGACTTCACAAGAAAAACATTTATTTACTTTCTTCAAAGAAAAAGTCAAGTATTTGAAAAATTTAAATTTTTTAAAACTATGGTAGAGAATGAAGTAAGTAGGAAAATAAAGGTTTTTAGAAGTGACAATGGTGGAGAATTTAATTCTGTAAATTTTCAGGCCTATTTAAAAGAAAATGGAATTAAGCATCAAACTACAATTCCACACTGTAGTCAACAAAATGGTGTTGCAGAGAGGGCAAATAGGACGATAATGGATAAGACCCGCTGCATGCTCCAGGACGCTGGTTTAGAGAAACGGTACTGGGCTGAAGCTGCTAACACGGCTGTATACTTGAAGAACCGTTCTCCTACTAAGGCAATAAAGGGAGTAACACCGGAAGAAAAATGGACGAATAAAAAGGTGAACATTGAACATTTACGAGTTTTTGGTTGTGTAGCATATGCCATCGTTGAGAATGCTAGAAAATTGGACCCTAGGAGCAAAAGATATATTTTTGTAGGATATTGTGATGATAGCAAAGGCTATAGGCTCATAGATCCTTTTTGTCCAAAGAAGTGCATTAAAGCGAGGCATGTGACGTTCATGGAGAACCAATTTGTAAATAAAAATGTAACATATAGTGATAGTTGTAAAGTTAATAAAAATAAAGATACTTCATTAGGTTTAGACTCAACTAGTTCACAGATTTTTGTAGATAGTACTCTAAGTCCGAATTCAGTACAATTACCTACAAAAACTATTCAGTTATCTCCACAGTCAAATGCATCAGTAAATGATGAGTCTATATGTCATAATGTTGGCCAAATAAATCCTCGCAGGCAAACTATGTTTGATCTAGATGAAACAGAAGATTTAGTTGCCTCAGATGATTCGGCCGACCCCACTTATGTTCCAGGTTTATCAAGCATTGACTCTGAGGACTCTAGGGAGCTGTCATTTGAAGAAGCTCAATCATATGAGTTCGCTGGATTAACAGAGATGCATGAGGAGGACTTACCTGTTAACGCGGAGGAAGCACTGAGATGCAGTGATTCACAGCATTGGAAACAAGCGATAAAAGATGAGTATGATTCTTTCATCACAAACAAATGTTGGACTTTAGTAGATCTACCTCCAGGCCATAAGCCTGTAAAATGCAAATGGATTTTTTGCAAGAAGAGAGGGCTTGATGGAGAGATCTTAAAGTACAAAGCTCGCTTGGTGGCAAAAGGCTTTACTCAAAAATATGGGATAGATTATCACGAAACATTTTCTCCTGTCGTCCGATACTCAACTATCAGAATTTTGCTAGCACTAGCTGCTCAGTACGATATGTTAATTGAGCACTTGGACGTTAAAACAGCATTTTTAAATGGGATTTTAAAGGAAAATGTGTACATGGAACAACCGGAAGGTTTTGTTGTTGATAATAATAAGAATAAGGTTTATAAGCTTAACAAGGCAATATATGGATTAAAACAATCAGCTAAGGCTTGGTATGAGAGAATTAATGATGTTTTAATTAAGAAATTACACTTTAAGAGGTTTTCTTCAGAACCATGCGTGTATATATATAACGATAGTAAAGAAATTTTGTATATAGCTATTTATGTTGATGATATATTGTTATTTTCATCTAAGACATCTCAGAAAGGAAAGCTCATTAAAGAAAAGTTGATGAAACAATTTGAGATGAAGGACTTAGGACTGGCACATCAATTGTTAGGTATGAAAATTACTACATTACCTAACGGTAGCTATACTCTCAATCAATCCAGCTATATAAAGAAGATATTGACAAAGTTTAAAATGGCGGATTGTAAGGAAGTAAAAACTCCTATGGAAGTAGGATTAAAGTTGCAAAGAGAGGGAAATGTTAGTAATTGCAACTTTGATTATAGGAGTTTAATTGGTTGCTTAATGTATTTAGCGGTATGTACCAGACCCGATATCGCTCACAGTGTCAGCTACTTGAGCCAATTCAATGATTGCCATGGTGAGAGTCATGTCAAAGCTGCGAAAAGGGTTTTAAGGTATTTGAAAGGCACCTCAGAATACTCGCTAATCTTTGAAAAACCTAATCTTGAAATTTTAGGTTTTGCCGATGCTGATTGGGGCGGAGACCAATTGGATCGGAGATCCTACACAGGGTATGTATTCTGTATTGGTAAATCAATAGTATCCTGGGAAAGCCGTAAGCAGCGCACTGTCGCGCTCTCGAGCACTGAGGCTGAGTACATGGCGGTTTCTGATTCTTGTAAAGAAGCTTTGTTTTTACGAGCGTTTATTAATGAGTGTACTGGTAAGCTCTGTAAAATAACTTTATATAATGACAACCAGTCTGCTCAGAAATTATGTTCTAATGTTATATCACATTCTAGAACAAAGCATATCGATATCAGATACCATTTTATTAGAGAATTGGTTGATAAGAAGATAGTTAAGTTAGATTATCTATGTACTGAAGATATGTTAGCTGATGTTTTTACAAAGCCCTTATGTATTGTGAAGCATAAGAAACTTATATCTAAATTATTTAAAACTTAAAGATATAAGTGGTAGGTGTAAGTTGCGAATATGATATTTTTATATTCGTTTAAGGGGTAGTGTTGGCACATGATATAAATGAATAGAAAAATATATATTTTGAATATTGAACGTCAACCGTGACAACCCTTCCTCTTGACCATTCTGTTGTATACTATTGTACCGATCCATCATAATGTACTTATAAATGTTAGTGTACCTACTAGATAACTTAATATTTTCTTTTCCTCTGATAAGAATAAAAAGGACATAAGTCAGAAAGAGACAAACTAATACTAAGTATGAAAAAGCGTCAGCGCAAGGCTATTGAATTAAAAAAAATGCTATATTTTTTTACTGAGTTTGATAAAATATAATAATAATTTTGTTTTTTATCAATGTATCGATTATTTTGATTATAATTTTTTAAACAACAAACAAAAAAAAATTAACTTAAAAAATAATCATATTTTATGTAAATAATCATTAATTTTATAATAATTATATATATTATGTTTAGTGATGAATTTTGTTATTAACATGTTTTGTTATAAGATATTATTTATTTATAATATGTAGAGGAAAATAATAATATCATATGCCGTAGAATATTACATAAACAAATAAACAAAATATTAGAAGCAGTATTCATAAAAATCATTGTATGAATTTTATTTAACTTAATAGTTTTGTAAATCTCTCTTGCGTTAAAACAATAACTATATTACTTTATCCACTGACATCTAGTAGTTTAGACAAAAAAATATGACGTTCTACAATCACATGTACAGAAATGTATGGAGGGTAGAGGTAAGGAGTCTCTTATATGGGAGACAAGTTGAAAAATTTAAAAATTTTCATGACTAAAGTAGTTAGAAATACCAGTATACAAATTCTTAATTATTTACGTAGTCTAAAATAATTTAGTAAATATGACCATCCTTGTTTATTTCTCTATCTTGCTCTAATTTTTTTTGGCGCTTCCTTTAAAATTTATCCCACGCTACCGCAGCGCCACCCTTATTGGACGCGTTTTGACGGACACTTTTTTATACACAGCAATTTCTCCTTACCTCTACGCTCCTTATAGCGGCAATAGAAATACATACTCTGTAAAAATTTCAACTCTCTATTACGGTTCATGAGATACAGCCCTCTGACAGACGGACGTACGGACAGCGGAGGCATAGTAATAGAGTTCCGTTGGTACCCTTCAGATACGGAACTCTAAAAAAGTAACACATGAGAATTCAGGTTCATATTAGGTACTTATTTGTTTTTAAATGACATAAGAGATCTCTTGACTACTTAGTAATGTATGTATATAGATTGTAGACATCGAACAAAAAAATGCAAGATACACAATCCCATGTAAAAGTTCTCTTAAAACTGTCACCAATTACGTTTAGGTAATTATTCTAGTTGAAATAAATATACAACAATGTAAATTGAACCTTAAATGCAATGCTTAAAGTTGTTTTCACAATTTAAAAAAAAATAAAAACGTGCTCAAATGTTCAAATGAGCGCTCATTCGTTGAGGACATTTTTTGTCGCTGATTGTGTATCTAGTACTCTTTGATCGTATGTATATAAGAATTTTAAAGTCATTTGTTAATTTTACGAACAAACATTTGATTTGTAGAAAAGCTATGCAGTATTGTACTTAGCTAACAAATTTTATTTATTTTTAATGTTATGATTTTATAAGGCTTTAAACACATTATTTTTTAAATTAGAACTATTTGCTAAATAGATGTGTATATCGCCTTATATTAGATGTTTTATTTTAAGCTCTATGACTTAATTTAATTGTTAGGTCTTAAGTAATAAAGAAAGATTAAAAAAAAATTAAAGTTTTATTTGGGAAAAGTGGTTGTTTGATTTCCTGTCAATTGTCTGATTTCTACGCACTGATTTAAATAGCAATTTCTCATCTGCACAATCGAAATATAATTAAAATACTAACGTACCAACTAAGTATCTAAATCAAATATTTCGTTTTTGATACATCTATGTACTTACATATAATAAAATTCTGAGTCGAATCTGTACATTACATATTTTTTGGAAAATCTTATTGAAATAGTCATTATTATCGATACAGAGATCGAATCTATAGTTTTTAGAATTTTTGTCTGTTTGTCTGGGAACGCATCACGAGAAAACCACTGGACAGATTTAGATGAAATTTGGTAAGAAAATTGGACTGGAAACCTGCATGTCTCAGAGAACTTAGCAAGTTTTCGAAAGACATGTTCAGTCCACCGGCACTTGGCCAGCGTGGTGGACTATAGTCTGAGCCCCCTGGGAGGGTAGGCCCGTGCTCAATTAGTAGAACGTTAAATAATTATAAATTAAAATTTAAAAATAAACCCCAACGCAAATTGTCATTTAACGATTACACTGGCACGCGTGATGCACTTAATCGAGTAATCATACGCCAATATGCCTTACATCATTTTGGAAAAGAGCTCTTACACTGTTGGACCGATACTAACCAAAGAACGCAAAGAACTACCGCAAGGAAACAGGCTTCTAAATGAAAAAAAACCGCATCGAAATATGTCCATCCGTTTGAGAGCTACGATGCCACAGACAGACACACACATACACACAGACAGACGTCGACGTCAAACTTATAACACCCCTCTTGTAGCGTCGGGGGTTGTAAAGGGCAGAATACAGAGAGAGTATACCCAGTAGGTACCTACATTCTTTGTCAGTCACTAAGACAGTCGGTGTTAGAGTGAGTCAATTTTTATCCTGAAAACAGAACTTTATATGGATTTTTGAATATTGTTGATTTTTACATAAAAACGGCTCAAAGAGACTATGTACAAGACAATTTACTTATTGAAACGATAATAATTAAAAATATCTAGATATAAGAATACGTGCAAAGTCGCAGGCTATACTAATATAGTATAAAATATAAATCTTAATTTAGTGGCCACACTATCAGAAAGAGATGGGATGCTGCGATGCACTCCAAACTATTGATTTATGCACTTTCTATAGGTGTAAATTTTCAGTCGATTGGCCTACATCGAAGACGATAAACATATCAAAAATGAAACTTAAAGTGGTTTTGCTACTTAGTTTCCTTGTGATTGCTACTGGAAATCACCTCGAAGCTTATCAATATGATCATCTCAGAAAGCTTCTCTTACAATACTTCAAGGATGTGAACGCTATAACACATGAAAACTCCAAAGAAACATGCCCAATTTGGTCTGAAGATGAGTATTTACCAGAAAAAGACGAGAACGTTGATGTGGATAGATATATAGGCACATTACTCCACAAGCAATTTTGGCCTAAAACATGTCCTCAATCTAAAATCCACGCAGAAGTAATGATTAGAAGACTTAAAGTCAGCCAACGATATGAAGAAATTGGTATGTCATTTGCGAAAGGGCTGTTCAAAAAATGCAATGTTACGGTGAAACTTGTCGATCCGAGAGAATATGGCACAGTATATAGTGACGATTCTAATCTACCTGATGCTGTCTTCCTCCCGGGAGATATGATTATATATATTATGTAAAGGTTTTGATGTCTATACGTAAATAATATCAATGATTAATAATATAATCTAATGATTAATGTTATAATTCTTATCCTATTTTATATAGCATGTTTTGCGATCTATCTAATAAGTTGATAAAATTTTAGGTTTTATTATTTCTTTATCATTACCTACTCTTGCAAATGCGAATGTTTGTATGTTCGTATATGTTTACGACTTGGAAAAACATATATTAGTAATAAAACTCACCAAAAGGTGGCACTGATTGTTTATTAAAAGATAAATTATATACAAATATAATATTTTAAACCTACTTTTATATAAAAAAAATGTTAAGTTCATTAATCTCAGGAATGTGGTACTATTGAAGTAAATTGTTAATTATGTAAAAGTAACTGGTTTCTAAGTTATATATATATATATATATATATATATATATATATATATATATATATATATATATATATAATTTAATTAACGCAGCTCTATCCTAATAAATGTTATATTGTTACGCCTCTTCTTAAACAGGGTATAATCAAAGATTTATTTTGTATTAGTGGACTGCAACTATTTTACTAAATCTATACTAATAATATAAAGAGGTAAAGTTTTTGATTTTGTGAGGTTGTAGGGGGTAATCTCTGGATCTACTGAACTGATTTAGATGAAATTTGGTAAGAGGATAGTTTGAGACCTTGGAAAGGACATAGGATTTTTTATCCCGGAAATCATCCCTTAAGGGGATGAAAATGGGGATGGAAGTTTGTATTGGGAATCAAGCTAGGGACGAACCTGAGCGAAGCGAGGTTGAGTCTCTAGTTTATAATAAAACATATAACATGTACTCTAAGAAGAAATATACTGTAAGATGAACAGTAATTATTTTTGAATTCTATCCATACTAATATTAAAAATGTGTAAGTTTATGAGGATGGATGAATGTTTGTTACTTAATAACGCCAGAACGGCTGAATGGATCTTGACGAAATTTGGCATAGATATGTATAGATTATAGTCTGGAATAGCCATAGACTACTTTTTATCCCGGACAAACGCACGGTTCCCATGGGATACATTATTGTCTAATAAATGTCTGTCCTAATAAATGTTTAAAAGTACCTTTATTGTGTTTTAATTGTTGCTTTATATTTCCATGTCATAATCTATAGTGAAATTATTTAATTTATAACAGAAAAATCTAATGTATGTATGTATGTATGTATTCAGCCCTTTTTAACGTCCCACTGCTGGGCACGGGCCTCCCTTCAATACGAGGGGGATCAGGCCATAGTCCACCACGCTGGCCAAGTGCGGGTTGGCGGACTTCACATGTTTTTCGAAAACTTGCTAAGTTCTCTCAGACATGCAGGTTTCCTCACGATGTTTTCCTTCACCTATCTAATACTTTCTTAGATTTACGCGAACATTTTAATTAAAACTATCTTTTCGGGTTTTTTTGCGGATTTATTTTGATATTTGGTTCCCCCGACGTTTCGAATGCTTTACAGCAATCAGCTGTAAAGTAAATAAATAAAAATCTTAAATCGGTTACAAAATTCAAAATAAAATTGCGACAAAATCCGACAGTTACAAAGAAGACAGAAAAAACAGAAAAAAGACCTATTAAAAAGTTAAATATTCACATATCTAAGAAAGCATTATTCCAACAATACCAACAAACAATATCCATGAATACGCTGAATAAACTTATTGCAATGGCAGTTTTTTTTCAATTATCAGCAAAATTTTAAGCTTCGTTTTAAAACCTATTAATTTATTTTCCTTAGCTTAGACTCCTTCCGAAGTTCTTGGGTTTGAGTCCCAAGTTAGGGCAAGTATAGTTATTTTTTTCCATCTAGAAAATTCTCACTTTGGGAAGTCAGCTGTGTTTCACCCCCCTGCCTCGTGTCGCGTCGGTCCTGCGCCTTAACTCTTACCGCAAGCGTCGAACGGTTGTCATCCTAAACTTTGAAAATGAAAGAAATAGAGGGCACTTATTATATACTAGCAGAACCCGCGGCTTTGCTCGCGCTAAAACTACAAAAATAAACTCTAAAATGGTAGGTGCCATACGAATTTTCATCCGCTATTTTACCCCCTTATGGGATGAATTTCGGAAAATGCTAAAACACGTATTTAATTAATTGTATTGATAAGCATTTATACCAAGCTTCATGTAATACTGATTATATTTTTTTGGATTGTATTACAACGTGATATCCCGTGGGAAAGAGATAATCTCTCGCGGTAAAAACTCTATGTCACTCTCCGGCCCTCCAACTAGTTCCACACAATAAATCACGCCAATCCAACAAGCCGTTTCAACGTGAAAGAAAGACAAACAAACAAACTTAGGATTTTTCCTTCTTCCAGAGTAAAAATAAAAAATATAGCTGAATATGTAATAATTAAAAAAAATCGAAATATTGACATTTATATTATTAGATTATTAATAATATATATAAAAGTCGATGTGTGTATGTATGTTCCCTATGGACTACAAAACAGCTGGAGCGACTTTGATGAAATTTTCAGGCAATCTTAATTATCCCAGCGGGTGATCCTATAGTTTGGTTGCGATCGGAAGTTTGAACGTGGGCAAAGCCGCGGGTACTGCTAGTAATTTAAAAATTTATAAGTAAGCCGCAGGGATATAAAAACAAAAATAATTAATTAATTTTATTTAATTTATATAAACTGCCTACATATAGGATTACAAAGATAATATAATTTAAGTATATAGTCTTCATCGATATAATTATATTTCTAAGAAAGTATTGCCATCGACCTCAAAAACCAATAAAAATGGCGCCTTTTTTAGTATATTTTTGTTTTTTTTTATTCAGTGTTGCCAGACTATATTAAATAAAAAAACCGGAAAGCAATAATAATTAATTTAAACAATAAAAAATCCAGAAAATGTTAATTCATCTTGTATCTGGCTACACAATTACAAAAATTTGTTTTTTTTTAATAAATACAAGAATTAACTTATTAAAAAAATATATTATTATTGTATAGGAACAAAAACTTTACATCATAAAACGAAGACAGATTCATCATATAATTAACACTGAACATGTAACATGTAACAGTGTTTTAATCATTAAAATTACAGATAATTAATAATATAAATACTTATTATAAATTTAAATTACCGCATAGGTATATATTGATACAAATTGTTGTTTTTTTTAAATAAATTTAGAGATATTATAGTTATAACATACGTACATAAGTATTGTATGATAATATAATTCCTTATTAATATTACAAATTATAAACATGAAAGTAACTCTATCTGTTAACTGTTTCGATGTGAAACATCTATTCTGCTGTCATAATAAAGAAGGCCCTAACTAAAAATTTGGTCAAAAATGACTTAAACGCAGATTCAGAAAGATCAGATTAAAAAAAATACTTGATAGTCTTACTCATAAAGCTCTAAGTCTTATGAATCCGGAGATACTATAACCAATTTCATCATAATTACGTCAAAACTACTACTAAGTACTAAGACAAAATTTCTCGAAATCAACTTTGATGAAGTTGCAGCCTTCCTTTATATGACGGCATGAGCTCGCGTATACTTTGTTGCTTCTATGCGTGAGTTGTGTCGTGTTTCTTTATTTTATTCTATATTTCGTTATGGGTTTTTATCAATTATGAATTTTAATAATAACATAGATGTTTCACATCTGCCGGGTGTCCTGTGATGGCCAACTTTTTTACTGTTATTTCCACTTTTCACGCTCAAACCGCTGAAGCAATTTTAATGAATTTTAGATGAGAAAGATATGGGCTATTATTTACTGTGTACATAAAACTTTAGAACGTGAAATGAAAGTATGAACATCTTATGTTTTTGCTTCTAGATATATAAAGGTGAGTTATATATTCTGGCATATGTATTATATTTATAGAAAATAAACAGTGATATTATATCAGTATACATCAAGGGATATTATAAAAGCAAAAGACACCATAAAATAAAACTATACTAATAAATGGAGGATCTAAATCTATACTAATAAATGGAGAGCCCATATTTTTGTTCGGTTATACTGCGATAACTACTGAACCGATCGGAATAATACTCATAAGCATCCACTCCATAAGATGCAGCGTGTTTCGGAGAAGGTTTTGGTATATGATATATGCGGGTGAAGCCGCAAGAAAACGCTAGTATTAAATATATTACTACATACGTGTAATTTTCTTTATCTCTAAGTAACTGTAACCTAAAATAATACTAAAACTATTGATATACAAAAACTCAAAGATACACTATTAGCCTCTCAAGTGTCCTCCAAAAGAAGCGCACAATTCGAAATTGTGCGCCTTTTTCAAATCTCTTTTGTTCATTGATTTTCGGATGTCAAAAGTAAAACGCACGTAGTATCGTTTAAAAAAGTACTTTATGTGGTGTGCGTAAGTTCGAATTTATGTTTAGACGATTAGAACTTTCGATTTTTGGATTGTATACTTTGGTTTGACTAAACGTCACATATCGACGACACTTTTTGAAGAGATATTTGTTAGGAAATGTGTATCTATGTTTTTATATATCAATGACGCAAACCTATAACTTTTTATCGACTAACCATATAACATGAGCCTCTAGCCAAAGAAAGCGAATTCTATAAAAATATGCTAAGAATGACAGTACTTTCTAGATAGTGTCTAATAAGTCATATTTTTAAGATATACACTATATATTGCGATAAATATGACATTGAATGACGTATACAACAATATACGGCGACACCCTCATCAAATTAGAAGATATAGATCGTATTCAGCCCCTTTTAACGTCCCACTGCTGGACGTGGGCCTCCCTTCTATACGAGGGGGATCAGGCCATAGTCCACCACGCTGGCCAAGTGCGGGCGGACTGAGCATTTCGAAAACTTGCTAGATTTTCTCAGACATGCAGATTTCCTCATGATACAGATTAAAAAATAATATTTGATATAATTCTTAATATCAGTTCAATTAAATTTTCTTGTTAATGGCTTCAAAGCATGCCAGTTAATCGCAGATACTTGGCTAGCGACGAACCCAAACGAAGCGAGGGCATGTCGCTAGTATTATAATAAATAATATAGCTATAATAAATTGTTTTTTTTTTTTTTTATTATAAACACTTGGTTCTCACAACAAAACTCATGTCAAAGATATGATTTGTATGTCGCCATTACATACAAACATTTATATTTACATACTATGTAGTAGCTCTATCCAACTGGGCTAGTTGATGTGCCAAGCGTTCTTCCCGAGCCCTTCTGGCTTGACCTAACGCCCTTTTCTCAGCAAACTGTGCTATGAACGTCTCCACTGGTATTTTTCCTAGAATCAATTTAGAAACATGTTAGAAAATAAATAAACAATAACTTTTTTTTATCTTTTTAAACTAGTTCTCATAACAAAAAGTGAACATGTCATCCTGTAAATAAACATGAATCAATAACAAGAAAATACTTAATTATTGCTAGGTTCTTAGACTTGCAGATTTTTTCAAGATGTTTTCCTTCACCGTTAGAGAAGTGGTAATCATGTTGGAAAAAATGATTCACAAATATCTGAAGTGCAAGACTTGGGATTTGAACCCACTTCACTCCGTTTCCCAAGTGAGCGTATTATCACTGGGCTGCCTGTACTGTGTGCAATTTACTTACCTAATAGAAACTGTTCTGCTATGACCTCTGCATCTTCATCCGCCTTTAAAGCAGCAACCCTCAAACAATCCTTAATTCTGTGTGGGTCATACATTTCTGATAGCTTCTGGTGTTTCCTATTGAGTTCCTCATAACTCATTTTCATTTGGACGATCGTAGAAATTCTTTCTAGAACATCAGATTTCAAGTCATCTAACATTTGTTGCTTCATTATATTATCTTGAGCTATTTCTTCTATATTTGTCATTAATTCTTCAGTCTCTAAGTCTAGCTCGACTAATTGAGGGTTATTTTCTAGGAGTTTGTCCTGAAAACAATTGATATAAAATATAATTTTGACCAACATCAAAAATGTACTGTACTGTGTGTATAACAAATACAGAAACATAGAAAAGTATGTGCCATTTATGAATTGATTTTTATTAATGAATGTAACATTTAATTGATAAGTTATATGTACTTGAACACAGTTCGATATATACATTTCATTAAAAAATATTCACCGAGTTTCCTTCACTTATTTTATAAAGAAAAACTGTCAAATTTACTACTACTAATTATAAAAAATTAAGACAGTAAATTACTGTATAAAAGATGCTATGAAAAATGGTTAAAATGAAATTAAAATAAGGTTTTAGTTTAAATACCTGTAAATCAGGATTTTCCATAATCTCCTGCAATTCTTCTATCGTCAATTCACTTAGTTCTGGAAACATTAATGATTGTATGCTATACTGTGACTGTGGGCTTGTATCGGTTGATTTGTCTTCCAGATTCAGTATATTTGGCACAGCTCTTTGAAATTCACGTATAATAGCTTGAACGATTCTACCTAAGTCTGCATGAGGTGTGTAGTTAACCAAGCCAGGTGCTCCCACCACTTCGTTTGAATTTTCAGCCAGCCATGGATGAGGGAATACTGGATTCACAAATATGTTAGGTTTCTCATTAGGAAAATCTGGTGGTAGTATAACGTTTAAACTCAAATTTCGTCCGTCAGAACTAAATTCCACCCTATATTCGGAATTTTCTTTTAGTTCTGTTACATTATCATTGAAAATTTTAAGAGTATCAATTTGTCGTCTCCTAATATCCTGCTCAGTAAGATATTGTCGTGGCAACATAGTAAATATATTACTGAAACAAAACATTACAAAATTATAATAACACAGATGTGCTAAGAAACTAAATATGTACATAATATAAAGCTAAAGGCAAGTAGAATATTTAAAATATTATATACCTTTGATTTACACTTTTAAAACTGAAATATAAATTAAATTATTTTAATTAGCTACAAATCCAAAACAAAACGAATCAATACTTTCAATTTACTGTCACTGTCAAAATATTTTAAAAATGACATTTTGCAGTATGTTCAAAAACACTTAAGACTCGTATCTGTTAAATTTAATTTTAATGTTATTATTATAAAACATTATACTTATTAGTATAATTAATTTAATACGTTCTAATTATTTTCCAGAAGTTATAATATTTTTATTTTTAATGTATATTTTTTTATTGCTAGCGCCATCTGGTAAACCAGATTAAGTTCATTTATACAAACCTTATGTGCAAAATCTACAGGTTATTTTGGATTAGGCCTCATTCGAAACAAAGAAAAATTATTTCAAATAAATGTCAATAGATGGCATTATATGTGTGTGTCAATTTGTATGTAAAATTAACATCTTAGTACTACATAAATACGAAAGTTTGGATGGATGGATGGATGTTTGTTTACTCAATCACGCCGCTGCAGCACGGATCTGGACAAAATTTCGTACAGAGAAAGATTATAGTCTGGAATAGCATATAGGTTACTTTTTATCCCGGAAAATGTACGATTCCCGTGGGATAGATCTGTTTAAATGGAATAATTATTACCAATTTTTCAAATCAATCGTCGATATTTCATTGTCACCCTACGAATTTTCAAAAAACTGACCTAGCAACACTGCCCCGCGTCTTTCAAATAAATAGGCGTCATCTATTTTTTTTTTTGGTGAAATTTATTTTTCGCATCCTTGACGAAGGCACCTCTTCCCATATCCTTTTCAATTGCCCCAAACATCTATATCCTATCTCTATCTGTGACTTCCTTCTTTCTTCTTCTTCCTTCCTTCTAAAGTCCGCCGTCCCATTAATGTTAATTGTTTGTTGATGTTTATATTTAGTCCAATATGTAGATTTCTGTATACATACATTAAAAGTAATAGAATTAAATTGTAAATGTATGTAAAATATATAACTATTAATTTTAACAATTATTATTTGAATTTTATTTTTCTCTTATAGTTTTTGTATATACTCGTATTGTTTTGTCTGTTTTTACAATTCGGATATCTTTTTCAATGAACATAATTTTTTAAGGTTATTTTTTTTATGTTGTCATACGTTACGACATGACGACACGTTTGGCTCATTTTGTAGTGACCCTATTTGCTAAGCCAGCGGTCGCGTGTTCGAGTCCCGCTGGGGGCATTCATGTGTGTGATGAGCACGAACGTTTGTACTCCAGTCATAGGTGTTTATATTTATAATATGCATGTATTTAGAGTAATATATGTGTAGTGTATCAACTATCTGGTATCCATAACACAAGCCTCGTAACTTACCATGGAACTAGATAGTGCTGTGTGTTAATATCCTAACATTTTTAATTTTATATGTCTCAAGAACAATAGCGCCCCAATTAGTAACTAAATATATATAATTTTACTCTTGTAATAAGTAGTTTTAGCTCAAATGAAGATAAATTATCAGATCGTGACGTTTCATAATCTTTACAATGTAACGAAACAATGTTTAATTAGAGTTTAGGTTAGGTTAGTTGTTTATTTATATCTTTAATATACTATACCTTCGGCTTACTACATATAAAAACTTTATTATTGTTATTAATCACTATCAGGGCTCGGAAACCGGTTACTTTTTTGAACCTGTTTTGGCTATTGACCCCAAATCGAATGGTTTTTCGGTTTAAGATTTCGGTTTCGTTCTTTAACCGGTTAAATCTGAGAGAACGGTTTTTACGAATTTAGGTTCCATGAACCTAAAGGCTGAATGGCTTACTAAAAGGATGCATGCATGTTTCTTACTTATGAATAAATTAACCGGTTTATTGCGGTATCAAAACCGAAATCCAACCTTTCTCTAAGAATAACCGTAAACCATTATAATTTCGGTTTACTTAACCGTTTGTTTTCATTAACCGGTTAAAGAACGAGCGATGAATTAACCATTACATTACCGAAATAAGCCGTCCTTTTTAAGACTTAAAATTGAATGGTCTGTTTGTAGTGTGAAAATGACAACTATATACTTATACAGTATAAGAAATAAACAATTTTTAATTTTTTTCTGTCTGTCTGTTTGTTTGTTCCGGTTAATCTCTGGAATGGCTGGACCGATTTTGATGGAACTTTCACTGGCAGATAGATGATGTTATAAGGAATTACTAAGGCTAATTTTATAGCAGAAAAATAATTAGTGATCCGCGTACAAAAATTAAAAACTAGGTATGAAATTGTGAACAAACTACTAGTAAAGTATTATGTGAAGAGTAGTAGTAGTAGAGTCCGTTTGGAATAGATATGAGAAAAGAGCAATTTAAAGTTTAGAAGTTATAATATTTTTATTGAGATCAAAGTATACAGTAACTTTTACTCTGTACATTTTTGGACAATTCCCCTTTTTTACCGGTATGTCACGGACATTGCCAGTTCTTTTTGCTTTCGGCATAGATAAAAAGGTATTTTTAGCGACATCCGGTCAGTTTTTGTAAAAACCAGTGGTTGGTAACACTTACCAGTACAATTACAAGAGAAAACAAAGTTTGTGACATTTCCTGTCCTTTGTATGTATCCTTCATATTACCGTTTATTAATTATTTCTGTACATTTGAGATAATCTCAAAAACTACTGTACACATTTTCATACGGTTTTCGCCAATCGAAAGAGTCATTATCAAGGTTATAAGGCTATAATTTATGAATATTTTAAATGAAACTATCGTCTCAGATTTTATCGTGGATTTTTTTTGTTTCCGTCGCGTCGTTACGAATTTATAGCAAACACGGACAGGAGAGAATCTCAACCGAACATTTTTCGTTTTTTTTTTCAGAATTTTGCGACCAATCAAAGGATGAATAAGAAAGTCACTTAGAAACAACAATAGTGCCACCACTATTTTTTCATATATTTTTTTTTTAATTTGGCTACAGCTTATCTCTAGTGAATCACATAAGACACCTACTTATCAAATTTTATCAACGTAGCTCCAATAGTCTTCACGAAAAACGGCTGTGACATACAGATAGACATGGCAAAATTATAAGAATTCCGTTTTAGCCATTTGGCTATGGAACCTTAAAAACGTGTTAAAAATCGAAAATACTAGCTATTGAAGAGTTCCTTCCACACGTCAAGGCGAACTATAATAATTATTGGACGTAGTTATGCAAAGTGGATCCAGCCCACGAAAACCGTTTTTTGAGTTACTGTCATAAATGGCACCTACATACATATACACAAAAGCTACAGTCTTGTACTTCTGTACTATCTGTGTACTTGATATTTCAATTTTACTAAAACTCCTATTTTCTCCAAAGTAAGTTTTTGTGGTTGGATCTTTTTTGCACAACTACGTCCAATTATCCCAAGGTCCTATGTCAATGCACTGTTTACAAAATGCTTAAGCCAGAAATGGTAAAACTCTTTATAAAGAAACTCATAATAATTGTCTGTCGTAAATTTTTATTAAGGTCAGTATATAAGAGTCTTGAGTAATAAATTATCGTTTAAAATTTAAAATTTTACTTGTAAAGCTATTTTTAGCTTTAGTTGTTGATGTGACAACAGTACGGATGAGTTTATAGTTAAGGAAGCAATTCTTTTTTACCTTTAAAATTACAAATATAATACTTTATTATATTTACATTATAAATTAAAAGTTTTAAAACTCCCTACGCAAATTAATTGTCATTTAACGATTACACTGGCACGCGTGAATCACTTAATCGAGTAATCATACGCCAAAATGCCTTACATCATTTTGGAAAAGAGCTGATACTTTTACACTGCTGGACCGATATTAACCAAACATAGCTAAGAAACCCGCAAGGAAACTGGCTTTCAAATGAAAAAAATCGCATCGAAATCGGTCCATCCGTTTGAGAGCTACGATGCCACAGACAGACACACAGACACACACAGACAGACAGACATCGACGTCAAACTTATAACACTCCTCTTATTACGTCGGGGATTAAAAACAAATGTACACTTAGTTATTACTGTACAAGTCATGTCCGCGTGGAATAGTGGCAAGAATGCTAGCCGCATTCCCCCCTTGGGCGAAAAATACGCCAGCTGTCCTGTCACTAGTAGAGGCGACAAGTCGAGAATCTATACATATAAGTAAGCCGAATCTGTACATTAGATATTTTTTAGAAAATCTTATTGAAATAAACATTATTATCGATACAGTGGCCGAATCTATAGTTTTTAGAATTTTTGTCTGTCTGTCTGTTACTGCACCACAGAAAAACCACTGGAGGGATTTTGATGAAATTTGGTATGGTGATAGCTGGTTATCCGGGTCAACATCTATACTTATTATAAAAATAAGTCCCCCGGCCGCGTCTTTCTGTCCTCCTGTCTGTCCTCCTGTCTGTCTGTACGCGATAAACTCGAAAACTACTGAACGGATTTTTATACGGTTTTCAACAATAGAAAGAGTAATTCTTGAGGAAGGTTTAGGTATATAATTTATTATGCTTTTATGTAAATTAGCTGAAATACGGCGACAAATGTTGAAGAGGTCGCAAAAAATCTCGCCAAATGGGAACTTTCCACGCGAACGCCGCGTAAACTAGCAAAGATACAGTTAAGTAATGTACTAGAGAATTCAAAATCTATAAAAATGCTACAAAAAAGTCCGCGATAGCATATCTCTATCTCTTACGGTTGACTTACAATAACCACTTTTATGTTAACATTTTTAATTAAAAACATTACGTTATTTTCAAAGTTATTTTCTTTAGTTCGGTATTAATCCTTATCCAAATGAATATTTTAGTTAGCTTAGTCATTTAATGCAGATTAAAATTGCTCTTTACACTAAATCAATCAGATGAATAGTTTTTGAGATATCGTTGTTAGAAGTAATTAGTAGCGAAACATTTTTAATGCTTGGCGAGCATTGAGATGCCTACGGCGAGTCCATCCCCTCTGCCCCGCATCGCTCGACCGCCTGCTCAAGCTATATAAACCGGGCGATGTAGCGCGCGATCCTAGGATACTTTTTACCGCGGGAAAATATCTTATTTCTGAGGAAAAATACAAAAACTGCAATGTAAGAGTATACTAATATGTAACACCTAAGAATTTAGTTTTTGGTCATCTGAACGCGGGCGGAGCCGCGGGCAATGCTAGTATAAGATAATTTTTACCGCAGGAAAATAACTCATTTTAAAAAAAAATACAAAATTTCCAATGTAAGAGTATACTAACATGTAAAACCTAAGAATTTGGTTTTTGGTCATCTGAACGCGGGCGGAGCCGCGGGCAATGCTACTAATAAATAAAAATGAAGTGTCTGCTTGTAATGTCATAATAACAACTTTTTACTAAATCCATATGAAAGTATATAAGATACCTATAAGAAAATAAAAAAAAATTGTCTGTTTGTTCTAGCTAATCTCAGAAACGCCTGGACTGATTTTGACGGGACTTTCACTGGCAAATATCATAAAGAGTAACTTATTAGGCCTACTCATATTAAAGAAAACGAATTAGGGTTCCCCGGAATAAAATTAAAACCCATGAAATTGTTAACAAAACCCGCGCGCGCCGTTGTCGCGTAAGTTGCCATAAGTAAAACAATTTTAATATGATAGTTGTAAATTCAGAGGATTGTGAAGTAGGTTTTATAAAAAATGCTCTCTGTTTCATATCGCTCGCTTTGCTAACCTGTATGGTGCGATAGAGACAGGTGCAAGTCTACATTTTCCATTTGAAATATTGTTTCGGACGATAACATTTTTACACCCCTAAACATTTATGAAATGAGATAATTTTGGTCTCATTAGATTCGGCACACCTTAATCTAGGTCTGTACGTTTCTCTGTTTTAGTGATTCAGTTTAGTTTAATTAAAAAAAATACGCTTGAGGAATTTTTTAAGTCAAAAATACAGATATTTAGATGCTAATAATATCTATCACGCAGTATTTCTTTAAAATAAAAACTTAAGAACCCAATTTTTTCATTATATCTACAACATTTCCAAAAATTATGATAATTAGACTATGTTTACTTGAGGAAAACGGTATCGGTTTTTGTATGAAAATTTACAGCTTCACAATCCTTTTAAGTCAGTTTTTTTTCTACGGGTGCACTCGAACGTAGCGCGTTACAACTAGTTTTGAGTATAAAAAAAGTTAATTAACATTGGCGTTTTATTTATTTATTCTTTTCGTGATTTTTAGTATTTCTTAGAATGTTGCTGTCTATTAATAGAATATGGTATAATGTTGTATATCCATACTAATATTATTGTTTGTTTGTTTGTTTGTTTTCGTTTGTTTATTTCTTTATTTGTTTGTTTGTTTGTTGGTCTTTTTTTCACGTCGAAACGATTTGGCGGATTGGCGTGACTTTTTGTGTGGAGATAGTTGGAGGGCTGGAGAGTGACATATGCAACTTTTTTACCCCGGGAGATTATTTCTTTCCCACGGGAAAACACGTTATAACTTATAATACAATCCAAAAAATTATTAATTATCAGAATTAGGTTCTTGAAACTTGGTATTATTACTCTTCAATACAATTAAATAAATACGTGTTTTCAAAATTCATCCCTTATGGGGGTAAAATAGCGGATGAAAGTTTGTATGAAACCTACCTTTTTAGGGATTTTTTTGTAGTTTTATCGCGAGCAAAGCCGCGGGTTCTGCTAGTATGTATATATATAAATGAAAATGTAAATATTTGTGCAAAAACGTAAACCTCTATTTTAATGAATCTCGCTCCATTTATATTTTGGACTGAATAATATTATGTATGGAAGAAGGACAAATAAACAAACAAACACACTTTTACATTTATAAATATTAGTATGGATTCTAAAGTTCCTTGTTCCTTATTTTCTTTATATTTTTTTTAATCGACTCTAATAACGTTGGAGATTGGACATTTCTATTACATATAGATATGTGTTTTAAATAAAACAATTTTCGAATTTTGTAGTTATATTATGATTTTTTTTAATTTCCCTAAGTGAAATAAATATATTTTTAAATTGTTTTAGTAAATACAGCAACACTAAATAGAATCATTTACTTTTTTAATTTTATTAAGTTATAACGTGATGACAATAGCAACCTAAATTAAATATTTTCTAATTGTAAACTATAGCAACCATTAGTAAAATTACTTGTTTGTATTCAACCCTTTTTAACGTTCCACTGCTGGGTGTGGGCTTTCAATGAGAGGGAAATCAGGCCATAGTCCACCACGCAGCACGCTCTCCGAGTGCCGATGGACTGATTGTGTCTATCGAAACCTTGATATTTTCTCCAAAGGAGGCGTGTAGGAGGATGCAAGTTTTCTCGCTCCGCTCGGGTTCGTCCGTGCTTACGTTTTAACGTTTAGTATAGATTTCTCAGAGATGAGATATTTTCCCGCAGTAAAAAGTATCCTATATGTTGGCCCGGATAACCAGTTATTATCATACCAAATTTCATCAAAATCTGTCCAGTGGTTTCCTGGTGATGCGCTCACAGACAGACAAAAATTCTAAAAACTATAGATTCGGTTACTGTATCGATAATAATGTCTATTTTAATAAGATTATTCAAAAAAATATTTAATATACCTACAGATTCAGCTCAGTTTGAATTTTATTATGTGTATAGATTTTAAATAAAACTCCCTTTTTGAATCATGATCGCGGGAGAGCATTCAAAACGTCGGGAACCAAAAATCCAAGAATATCCTATAGCTTTATTACAAGTGTTATATTGTGTGTTTGTAGTTTCAAATATTCGCGTAAATCTAAGAAAGTCTTCATCGATATATTGATATCGTGTAAATTAGCCTTAAGATAATAACAAAGTAAGTACGACACGGTTGTAACCGCGTTTCTAACTGTATTTTATGTAGGTCGTGTAGAACTGTTTACGCTTATATATCACGTACTTGCTTCAATTATTTTATTATATACAATATCACGGCGTTGCCTGGGTGCTACTTAAATATTATTTTATAAGTAGGTACAGCTATACTAGCATTTTTGAATCGGATCTATCATCTATACTTCTATACTATCTATACTAATATTATAAAGAGGTAAAGTTTGTGAGTTTGTGACGTTGTAGGGGGTAATCTCTGGATCTACTGAACCGATTTAGATGAAATATGGTAAGAAGATAGTTTGAGACCCTTTTGATCCCGGGAATTATTTCTTAAGGGGGTGAAAATGGGGATGAAAGTTTGTATTGAAGAGGAAGCTAGGGACGAAAAAAAGTGAAGCGAGGGTGAGTCGCTAGTAATATTATAAATGTGAACGTTTGTGAGTATGGATATATGGATGTTTGTACTTTGTTACTCTTTCACGCCAGAACGGCTGAACGGATCTGGATGAAATTTGGCACAGAGATAGATTATAGTCTGGAATAACACATAAGCTATTTTATCCCAGAAAAATGTATGGTTCCCGTGGGATAGGTTTGTTTTTGTTTTCCTAGAGGCGAACCCGAAAGTTTGTATGTGTGCATGTTACGTTCACGTTGAAACGGCTGAATGGATTTTGATGAAATTTAGTACACAGATAGATTACGAGCTGGAGTAACACACGAGCTACTGTCAGGAACATAGGGACGTAAAGCTAAGCTCTCTTTTATTATATAATGTATTGAAATAAATATATTACTTATAAGTAACACTTTTTTATTTTCTTCCTTAGAAATTATTCTCATTATCTGAACGTTGAATATTGTTCCGCTTTAGATCTGATGATCATGAAGTAAAGTTAACAAAAAATAAATAATTATTGATTTCAAGCATCCATTCCGGATCGTACCTAAATAAATCTATACATACAATAAAACTAGCATTGCCCGCGGCTCCGCCCGCGTTCAGGTGACCAAAAAACAAATTCTAAAGTTTTATATATTAGTATACTCTTACATTGCAATTTTTGTATTTTTTCTGAGAAATGAGATATTTTCCCGCGGTAAAAAGTATCCTATATTTTTTTCATTTTATCCTTAGTTGACCCGGATAACCAGCTATCATCATACCATATTTCATCAACATCTTTCGAGTAGTTTTTCTGTCATGCGGTAACAGACAGACAGACAAACAGACAAAAATTCTAAAAACTATAGATTCGATCTCTGTATCGATAATAATGTCTATTTCAATAAGATTTTCAAAAAAATATCTAATGTATAGATTCGGCTTAGTTACAATTTTATTATATGTATAGATAGTACTCGTACATACTAACGAGTTATAGTTATAGTTTGTAAGCTCATCCTTTATGGTGCATGTTGGTTTCCTATAATCAGGGTGGCTCTCAGAATGCAAAAGCCATCATGTTAATATGTATTAAGCATCTATAATTTATATATATTACAGGTAGTAGATTCTATAAAATATCCTTATTAAGTAAAGTAACACATTTATTCAGGATTCTGATATATTAAATTACCAAAAAAACTAACTATCTATCACTAAATCTAACGACACCAGTATTAAACAAACACCTTCCACTGCACCACTATCCATTAACAAATTCTCGTACAAATTACTCGAATGCAGGTTCATTTTTTGGCAGACCTAAATAAAAATGGGTGCCAAACCGACTGCTCAACAAAAAGAGTATGAAGGCCATTTCATTCACACCACTTAAGTAGAGGGGACAGGCGGACTGTTCTCCACTTTCTACGAGCATCGTCATTTTCATACTTCGACCGCTCGATCAGCACGCATCGAGTTAACCCAAAAAAAACTTTGCATAACAAGTGTTCAACATTTTATATAATATTCTGTAATTCTGTAATAAATTACGTAAGTTTTTTTAGCCTCTACTTGCTTGGGTATCGCTATGGCAGAGTGCAGTGTTAGTGCCAAGTGATATTGTGTTTTACTGGAAAATTTGGATTATACGAGGTAAGATATTTCCGATTACGTTATATTTGAAAGTAAATTTCGACAGAATCTAATGATTGCGGAATATTGACACTAACCCACTTATTAATGTTCATATATTAAAAGTAAAAGTTATGCGTAACCGGTCGAGATGTGAACGCTTTGTGTGGAAGAGGAAATCAGAAAAATGAAAAATATGATGTTCCTATATGTTTTTTTCTAGTAAAATTCCATTTTTTTCGTTATAATTGTTAATATTTTGTATGGGAAATACAAATAAGTATAGAGAAATCGTTTAAACAGGGTTTAATAACAGTAGAAGAAAAAATTAAAAATATTAATCAAGTGTGTAAAGTAGTGTCACGTAATTTAGATATTAAACAAATTTAATTGCCATTCTTAATCTCTTTCAAAAGTATATTATAATACGTGCTTTACCTTACTTGAGTAGTAAGAAATGTTACGATTAAGTTACTACATATGTCCTGAAAACGTGTAAATATTCTAACTTGATTGAACCCAACATCTGAAAAAGATACATTTAAAAAACAAAATAAGAGAAATGTCTGAAAATCCACTTTTATACAAAATTATAGCCGGTTACATAAAAAAATATGTACACATACTATAAAAACAACATTAATGTAGGTTGAAAGAAAAATCTGATAGCTCTCAAAGCTAATGTAGAAAATCAAGAGCTCTTTGACCCAGTTTCCTTCCTTGAAGGTTTCAAGATGAAAAGATTGCTTAAAATTGGGTCGCAACAATTCTTACGTCAACAGCTATATAATATTTAAAATTTAATTAAATTCGACTCAGCATTTTAGACCGAAACTATTGCTCGAAAAGTGGGACGCAAAATTTATGTCAATAAAGTGTTCATGTAAGAGTTTGTAGAAATAATATTAAGTAAGTTAATTTTGTAATTAGACATAAAGCTCATTGTTTTATTATATTTTTTAATAACGAATATCCCCCAAAATATTTTAGTTAATATTTTATACAAAAACTAGCCCTTCACCCTCGCATCGCTAGGGTTCGTCTCTACGTTGCTTGCATGTTCAATCTTTCATCCTCATTCTCAACCCCTTAAGGGACGATTTCCGGGATAAAAACTATCCTATGTCCTTCCCAGAGTCTCAAACTACTACTTACCATTATATTTTCAAATTTCATCTAAATCGGTTCAGTAGTTTCGGAGCTTGTTTGGTAAAAACAAACATCAAGCAAACAAAAAAAAAACCTCTTTATAATATTAGTATAGATGAAATGCTGGAGAAGAGCTGAACTGATTAGGCTTTCTTTTTAAAAGTTCCCAATAGTTCAGATAAGATTTTTACTTTTTAGTGAAAAAATTGGGAAAATTACACGGATAGTAATTGTTAAATTCAAAAGAAATCTCAAAAAATTGTATGAATTCAAACATCACAAGTTTTATTGTAATAAGGACAGGATAACGTGAAACGAAAAATGTTAAGAATGATTGACGACACGTTTGGCTCAGTTTGTGGTGACCCTACTTGCTGTGCCAGCGGTCGCGGGTTCGAGTCCCACTGGGGGCATTCATTTTTGTGATGAGCACGAATGTGTGTACTCCAGTCATGGGTGTTTATATTTATAATATGTATGTATTTAAAGTTATATATGTGTAGTTTATCAACTATCTGGTACCCATAACACAGGCCTCATAGCTTAAAGTGGAACTAGATGGTGATGTGTGTTAATGTCCCAATATATTTATTTATTTATGTATTTATCCCTTTCCGTATCCCTTCAAAAAAAAATTGATTTGATTTGAATTTAACCATATAACCCATCATCTCAAATTTAGTATTTTATTATCCAAATAAGTATTCTTAGAAATCTTTCTAAAAGTTAAAAAAAAATCTCGTTAACATATTTTGTCCCACTATTATTGATTGCGAGTTGTGATTTTTGGCACACTACCGCTATGCGGAGACGGAACTAGGGCACTTATACTGCTTAAAAAAGCAACGAACCTGTAAATCTGTATATGGAGAGTGAATTTATTTATATAACTCTCTTTGTGGAGAAAAAAGAGAAATTACCGAAACTCTCTTTTTTTAAAAGATTCTCCGTTTCCAGCTGAAGTTAAGATGATTTTTGTTATTCCTCAAAAATTACACCCTTAGCAGAGTTGAATAAATGTTTGATAAATGTATACTAATATTATAAATAGGTAAGATTTGTTTGTTTGTCTGATCTAACTTTTATATTATAGCACAAATAGTTATTTTAATGTTTTACTTGTTACTATGTAATATTTAGCTGGTTATTTGATGTACGTTATAAATTACGGTACTTCTTTACATAGTATAAAATGAAGCCGCTTCCGCTGTCTGTTCGCTTAGATCTTTTAAACTACTCAACGGATTTTAATGCAGTTTTCAGCAATAGATAGATTCAAGAGGAAGGTTTATATGTATAAAACATGCATATTACAGTACAGAAAAGCCAAGGAATACAAATATTTGTATTTCATACTAACCGTTAAAATATACCTATGGACGAACCCGAGCGAAGCCAGGGTGAGTCGCTAGTAATACTGACAAAATTCTGTTATTTACCATATGTAAATTATTTACATAGTGTATTAGTAGCGAAAAGAAAATCACGACTTACGCACATAGATTTGTAATGACATTTTTTTTTTATATTTCTATTCCTTTCTAAGTCCTCTAGGGGTCAACCAACAATACTTATTGCGTTTCAAGTTACGATCTAAAATGAACCGTTTCGCCATTTCATACCATATTTTTGAAGACACGTTTGGCTTAGTTTGTATTGTACTTGATGTGCCAGCGGTCGCGAGTTCGAGTCCCGCTGGGCATTCATTTGTGTGATGAGCGCGAATGTTTGTACTCCAGTAATGGGTGTTTATATTTATAATATGTATGTATTTAAAGTTATATATGTGTAGTGTACCAACTATCTGGTATCCACACCACAAGCCTCGTAGCTTACCATGGTACTAGATGGTGATGTGTGTTAATGTCCCAACAAAATCTATACATATAATAAAATTGTACTTAAGCGAAATCTGTACATTAAATGTTTTTTGGAAAATATTATTGAAATAAATATTATTATCGATACAGATGCCGAATGTATAGTTTTTAGAATTTTTGTCTGTCTGTCTGTTACCTTATCACAGAAAAACTAAAGGGATCTTGATAAAATTTGTTATGGTGATAGCTGGTTATCCGGGTCAACATATAGGATACTTTTTACCGCGGAAAAATGTCTCATTTCTGAGAAAAAATACAAAAACTGCAATTTAAGAGTATACTAATATGTAAAACCTAAGAATTTGGTTTTTGGTCATCTGAACGCGGGCGGAGCCACGGGCAATGTTACTGCTACATAAGACGTTCATTTTAAGTCACATGCTAAACAAAATTTAAAAAGAAGTCAAACATTTATGTCATTTATTCAATTCCTACTCTGATAAGCCGAATAATACTAACGAATAAAAAAAAACATTTTCTTTCTCCTTCTTTTCTTGCTGAATCTTCTTTTTTCCTAGAAATTGAACTGCATCGGAAATAAATCGCTATGTAGAAGCTGACGGTAGGCTCTCTTATTATAAAACTAAAAATAGGAACGTCTTTATTATACTACGACTGTCGTCAATTTTGAATTTATTAGGTGTTACGTAAAACACTGCTTAATAATTGACCTACAAACATACATATATATTATGTCTTTACACAGTTAGATAATGTCTGCCGAGTTTTTAATATCTATGTCAAAAAGCTGGTATCGATTCTCGCCATTTTTTTGTATTGATCATACATATTCGATTTCTATGACAACTGTCTTGAATATTTTCCTAACAATATACAATGATAATTATGTAGAGCAATTCTAAGACTTTCAACAGTAATTTGAATTGTACTGCTTAACCGCTTTCGGGTTTCGCTCGCGTTCAAACTTCCGATCGCTACCAAACTTCTAACAGGATCACCCGCTGGCCTTATCTGAAGATTGCCTGAAAGTTTTATCAAAATTGCTCTAGCCGTTTCGGAGTCCATAGGGAACATAAATACACTCATAGAGTTTTGATATAGTTGTTTACGAAATCGAAAATTGCGATCGAAAAAAAAAATACATTGAATATGCCGAATTCGACCGAACATTCGGCGCATCTCTAAATATGACATCAAGAAAGACAAATTTCAATTTATATTAGTAAGGATTTGTAAAGAATGAGGCAAATCTATATTTTTTTAATTCAATTCCACACAATATAGCCTAGATTTTTAAGCGGAGAATCGAACTGCCGACCCATTTCACTAACCTTGTAAGGCGCGCATCGCGCATAATAATTAGTTAAACCACGCAAAGTGTGGACTAAAGCACTTTTTTATTTCAATTTAATTGTTTCAGTCACGAATGTTAAACTTTAATAGTAATGTAATAATCATACGTTGTGTAACTAATGTGATAGCCGGTTCGATTTTTTTTCAAAGTATAGGTTTATTATACATATAATATATCAATATTTTTACAGAATATCATATAATTTCTAATTAAAAATCCATATATTACATTTTTTTATAATATTTACTTTAACTTAAATTTAGTACTATGTTTTAACATTTTATATAAGAATCTTGAGGCTTTCAACACTTTTAAAATCACATCAGCATATATATTTAAATTCTTCCCTTGCACACAAATTTGAAACCAATAACTACTAATTGTAAGCTATAATTTAATCATATATTTATCAAAACGGTCAGGTCAGCCAATTTTGATATAACTTATTACATACTATTTCATAAAATAATC